CCCCACCCTCCGCGGGGAGACGAAGGTAAACGGCGCTTCGGTTTCCCTTCTCGGGCCCCTGCCGCCGCCACCCCGCTTCCTTGTCCTCCCCCCTCCCGATGTATGTATGCATTTGGGAGGGGACCCGAAAAGCGGAGCCCCCTTCCTTATGCGCCCTCCTTCACCCCCGCGTCCCCGGCCCCCTCCTCGCCACCGCGGGCCCCGCCCGAAACCGGCACGGGGGAGCGTTCCGAGTGCACAGAAACACAAATGTAAAAAATTGTTCTCGGCGAAGGGGCGACCGAGACTTGCAATAAGAATTTGGGGTCGTGGCCGGGGCGATCGGGTGCGTGGAATTCTCCTTTTGGCCCCCGATCGCCTTTCGTGATGTCCCCACGGGTGTTGGGGGCCCCGAGGCTCTGGGCTGGCTATCACGGTCGCGTGGATTTTTGCGCAAGTTTTTAGAAAAACACTGACTCCACTAGAGAGCATTTCTCCGGAAAGTTTCAAGTGCCTCAAAATAGCGAACGTGCAAAACTGGCCAAGGGGAGACCTCTAGCGGTTAAACGCGTCCTAAGTTCGGAGGGCCGAGAGCAAAGTTTGGCCTTTACTTCTGGCTACGTCGCCGTTCAGACGTGGAAGCGATTAGAGGACGGGCGAGCGGGCCAGCGGCGGCCGGGCGCCGTGTGGAAGGATGCGGATCCGAGCTAGAAAGTTGGGGAGAGCGGAGAGCAGTGAGTCCCGAGCACTCGGCCCCGCCGTTTCCACCCGTTACTCTGCTCTCACGAAGCCACGTTGCTTTTGCTCTGCAGTTTGAGACGGGGCCTTCCTTGGTGAAGGAACAATTGCGTGTTTTTGCGTGTGTCGTCGCCTGTATCTTTCACCAGTCTCTGATCGCGAGTGAAAGCGAGTGATTTCAGTTTGAATGTTACTAAAAGTACAAGATGATATGTGTTTAAAACTGAAAAAGAAAAAAAACCGAGAAAAACCTTTTGAGGTTTATTTACATTTCATATGAGCTGGTAATTTTATTCTTTGGGAAATGTAACTTAGGGCTCACGTTCCGTTCATAGCTGTATAGTTCCATATATATAGGCGCCCGGTCTAGTTCTAAGGGTGTGATTTTGTTTTGTTGGTTAAAACATCATTACTGAGTGCTTTATATAATCTGTGACTTGAAAATTTAGTATTTTTAGGAAAACACTTTAAAATGTTACCCCATTCCCCACAAGTTCCCCTTTCCCCATGTACAAGAGCTTTATTTCTTTTTTCCTTCTGTTTTCACTTTTTTTCTTGTCCCTTCCTTCCTTTTCCCCTCCCTCTTCCCCTGTTCCCCTCCCCATTTGAGCACTTTCTTCCCATTTCCCAACATCTATTATACTTCTCAATCCTTATTTCCACATCCAGATTCTCACACCAGAGAAAAAAATGCTATATTTAAACACACGTGTCTGATTTATTTCACTGAGTGTGGTCTCGAGGTCCATCCATTTGGCTATAAATGTCTGAAGCTCATCCTTCTTTATGGCAGAGTAGTACTCCATTGTATAAAAAAACCCCACATCTTTATCCACTGGTTGGTTGATGGGCATTTGGGCTGTTTCCAAGATTTAGTTTTTACAAACTGTGCTGCTGTAAACATGGGTGTGCATATATCACGGTGGCTTGATGCTTTTAATTCTTTCAGAAAGATGCCAAGAAGGGGAATAGCTGGGTCAAATGGAACCTCTAGTTTCAGTTTTTTTGGAAATTTGCACACTGACTTCCACAGTGGTTGCCTCAGTCTATGCTCCCACAAGCAGTGGATCACTTTCTTTTTTCTTTTCTTTTCTTTTCCTTTCTTTTCTTTTCTTTTCTTTTCTTTTCTTTTCTTTTCTTTTGTTTCTTTCCCGGGGATCGAACTCAAGCCCTTGCACTTCTGAGGCAGGCAGTGGAACCACTGATCTAAATCCCTGGCTTGGCTGATTTCTTGATAGCAGCCATTCTTTCTGGGGTGAGGTGAAATCTCAGTGTTGTTTTCATTTGCATCTCAAATGACCAGTGATGTTGAACATTTTTTCAATTTATTTGCTTTCAATTTATTTTCATATTTGCTGTCTCTAATTCTTTATCTGAGAAATGTCTTTTCATTTCAGATGCCCATTTTTACATTGGGTCTTTAAATTTGGGGGACCTGTCTTGTTGTTTTTGTTGTTGTTCTTTCTATATTCTACTTAATAGTCCTTTATCTGAATAGCTGGTAAACATAATATCTATTCTTTTGCCAGTGTGTACCTGTAAAGTATTGGGTTAATTTTAGAGAAATACAATGAGGGAGATTCAAGTTGTCCTACATGATCCTGTAAATTTCACCTGCCTATTAGACAGTGCGATATCTGATTGGGTGAATTTAGGATATGGGAATGAGATGGATAATTAAAATTAATTTCACCTCACCTGACACTAGTTTATTTTAACAGTCAGAGTGATGTGTGAAACTAAGTATGCCAGAGTATGGAAATGTAAAGTGATTACTTGTGCTTTATGGACTTGAAGGCTTCTTTTGATGACAGTGATTTGATTTTTTTACCTTTTCTCTTTTAAAATCTGTGCTAGGTCTTAAGGAGGAGTCTTGAGGGTGCACAGTGATTGAGAAGACCGCCTAAAGTTTCTATCTTCACTGCCACAAGGTAAGATTTGCTTGGTGGTATAAATTGCTTAATACACTTGCAAATGTTGGAAGTTACATTTGAGAATCAGGAAGGAGAGTGTGGGCTGGGATTAGCAGAAACACCTAAATTTGCTGGGTGTGGTGGTGCACACCTGCAGTCCCAGTACTGGGGAGGCTGAAGCAGGAGGATCGCTGTGAGTTCGAAGCCAGCCTGGGCTACATACTGAGTTCAAGGTCAGCCTGAACTACATAGCCAGACTTTGTCTCAAAAAAGAAAGAAATGCCTAAGTTTGTAACAGTTGCTTTGAATGCATGAACTTGCACTAAAGTGTGTTTGAGGGCTAACTGAAACATGAGATTTTCCTGGGTAATCTTGAGAATGGCTTACTGACAAGATTCTTAGCCTTTCTGCATCTTCTGCTGAAAGCAAGTTGTTTTATTCTTTGGAATGGAAAAACAGAAAAACTGGAAAAAGGCACTGTAAATTCACATAACTGTCACATAGGTAGGTATTCAGTGATACAGAAGATTCCAGAACTCTAAATGGGTTGGAGGTCTGTGATAAAAATTTTGTAGCTAAAATTTACAATAAGAGTTTTGGAGTAGTTAAGTCACTCTGCCGGCTTTAAGTCAAGCAGGGCTGAGTCCTGCCGGACTCAAGGAGAGGGGTAGTGAGGTCCTAGCAGGTGAGCATGGATGTGTCCACTTTTGAACACGGCTCCGGGGGACGCGGCCACTGTCTGGTAAAGCTTATCGCCAGTTACCCTAGACCCATTTTTCCTTTTTTTTGTGAGCAGGACTAGTAACCCTCACGGACGTCAGGCTGAGTAGCTAGGCTATAAAATGCACCATCACAGGTGTGCGCTGTCTTTCTCTGCTTGTGGCTCATCTTCAGGGCTGTGACCAGCGTGGCTGGTAGGTGTGGTGCAGACGTGTAGGTGACAGGTGGCACAGGTGAGGGAGAAGACTGCCGGGAGGTGGGTCTGACAGGCTCCCCGGTGCTCAGGATAGCGCTTGTCCTTCATCTGGGGACACGTTGTGGCTGAGGAGAGCAGGCTAGAGTAGGAGCCAGAGGGCTGAACCTCTTCACTTCATGGATCACCCATGGGAGTCCCTTTACTCCTTCTGCTTAGTTTTGTCATGTGGAAAAGGAGAATAGCAGTACTTGCCTTACTTCTTTTTGAAAAAAAAAAGGATCAAATAAAGTAAGATTTTAAGACTCATAAAGAATTATTCATGTGTGTGTTCACTGTGTTCTCATTTTAGCCAGGCCTTATGAAGGGCAGGAGGTAGGCTGTCTAGGGTATGCTGATTTAATTCTTGCCTAAAATTTTTAGATTGGTTTCTGGTGAACGTAGTGTGTGTGTGTGTGTGTGTGTGTGTGTGTGTGTGTGTGCAAACTTCCAGCCGTATTTCTTTTCTTGAGAAAAGTAATATACTTTTGATAATATTAGATCCTTGAAGTGAGGGACTGAGGTTTAACATGGTGCTAGATATAAAGCCTGAAATTTATTTATCCCAAATTAGTCATTTAATAAATAAGAAGAATAAATGAAAGAAATACTTGAGAGTAACGCCTTCTTGTGGAAATGGTACGGCAGTGAAAGTCAAAGAGCTGGTCTGAAGAGAATTCAGGTACTGTAATTAATGATTTGGCTGCGGGAGTCCACTGGGAGAAGAGGCCAGGAAATAGGTAACTGGGGTAGTAGTGATTTAAACTAACTATGAGGCCAGAAACTGATGCCTGTAAATGACTAGAGGTAGGGGAAGTCCATGTCAGGGCTTTTCCCACTCCTTTTCTGGACCCCTTTGCCGTTACGTTTTATTTATAGCCAACTCTCCAAAATCTAGGTAGAAAAAAGTTACAAGTACTGTTTGTCACTGTTCTCAATTTGATAATACTGAGGCTGGCAACATTAACCTTGATGTGTTGAGTTTTATTTCATCTCTTGTCTTTTGTAGATTCTCCAATATTCTAAGGACCCAAAGCCCCTAAGTGGAGGAAAGAAAAGAAATATATGTCCTATTGAATTAGTCCCCGAATAAGGGAGAATGTTGGTTCTTGGGTAATTCTGCTGGTCACTTTGACGCTTTATTTTTTAAGAATTGTATGCTGTTTCACCCAGCACCCCTGACAGCAGATGTAGTTAGAGGGGCAAATTTATGAGAGAAGTTACTTGATGTGCTACAAGACAAGGCTGTCCTTAGGGTCCCCAGGGTGGGTGAGTGAGCGATCCCTCTGGTACTTAACCAGCTTTTTCTGAGCTCTTACAGGGTCGAAGTCTAAGAGATGAGGTTTTGGCCTGGTAGAGTTCCCGAGGATTAGACGACTCTGAGCTCTGGGAGGAAGAAATTGCATGACGGTCGCACATGGACAGGTGGAGAGAGTGAGGGTTTTAGACTAGGGAGCCGGGAAACACGGATTCGGGCTGTCTGTTGTAGGACCATGCATATAATTGTGTGTATGGTGCCATCCAGTGCCTTCTTTATTATTACTTTTAATACTTGCCCTTTAGAAAACAGTAAGCAGCTGTACTCACTAGTGAGTAGGGTGGGTGATGGATTGGGCTGACTGCTTCTCTTTGACCTCACAAGGTGACTTTCTGGCGAAGATCTGCCCGACCGCTGACCTAATTGCTGCTTCTGAGGGACTCATTCCTGGGCCGGGGCGCAGTGGTTCCACCGCCTGCCTTGCAAGCACAAGGTCCCGAGTTTGATCCCCGGTACCAAAACTGTGGTGAGAGACTCATTCCTCCCAAGGATTTGGGGTATCACGGTATACAAGGGTGATTAAAAAGCACAAGGAATGTTTACAAGACAAACTTACAGTAAAAGACACATTAATCCCCCTCAAAATAGTTCCCCTCACTTGGGTCACACTTACTGCATTGTTGGTTCGTGTTTTCCGGAGCAGTTCTGGAAGTCCTTTTGCATCTGTCTCTATGAGGTGTGATCAGAAGTGTGGCTATTGTCGCTGCTCAGTGCCACCTAGTGGGAAGGGAGGCTGGTGAAAAGCTCACGATGTGTCCTCGCCAGACGTGGCACCTGGTGACTCCAGGCTCTTCCCCACAGTCAAAATGATCGAGAAAAGAATGTTTGGGATTGATTCGGGTAGCTTTGCGCAGGGGCAGCCCCGTAGCCAACAGGCGTTTATCTGATGCACAATTGTTGCCAATTGAATTGATGCCGGTCATTGAGGCAGCTGTGACAGCACAGCTAAAGACTCTCAGGAAAGAATTCTCCAGAACTGCTTCAGAACGTGGCAAGAGCGATGGATGTGTCTGTTTGCAATGAGGAGTATTTTGACAGACATCCATGGCAACGTGTCTGTTACTGTGACAGTTTATTAAAATTTACGCATTCACTATTTCTTGATTACACCTCCCGGGTGAAGATAGTGTGTTTAGAGGGACTTATGTATAGGTTCATGTGTATATATATTTATCTTGATGGTTTGTTTTTTGAGACAGGGTATCAGTGTGTAATTCAGGCTGGCCTTGAACTCACAATGTAGCCCAGGCACTCATCCAGCCTCAGGCTCCCAGCTGCTGGGATTGTAGGGGTTCACCACCATGCCTTGAAATCTGAGGAATCTTTAGAAGATGTATTTTGTCCAGGGAGTCATTATCCAGTGGGAATATTCGCAGGCTTTCTCTTTACCATGTCAGATTGTTTCACTGATTCATGCGGCTTTGAGTCAGTTACGGGAGACTGTGAACCGGCATTGATTGTAGTAGTTACGTGCCAGTGAAAGGGAACACCGGGGCCAGGTACCTTTGACAGATAGTTAAATTTGATTTATGCGGCTCAGAAGTGCCCATTTAAGAGACAGGGCAGTTTGGAAGAAAGAACACAGCATTTGGGTAAGGAAACGAGTGGAGTTGGGTGATTTTGGGTGAGAGCTTTTCCTCATGGGCTCAAGTTTTCTCAGAAGGGGACTTAGAATTAAGGATTTGGATGGTGATTGTAAAGACTGCATTGGTGTTCTGTGTAATACAGTAAAATGTCCCTCCTGTGTTAATCTTCTTTCCCTCATATACGCATCTGTTTTTTGAAAATTGAGTCCAGGAAGTGATTTACATAATCAACCCTTAGAACAGCATTGAATGAACGAAGTGTTGGAGCTAGCAGAGAAGAGAGCTTGAGTTCTTGGCCTTAGTGTGTTCAGGATGGAGTTGGAGGTCTGCCGTGCACACGGGGTGGCTGTTTACAGCCGTGGCTCACCGTGAGACCAAGGGTGCGTGGCTGGAGAGACGCAGGCACAGGCACCATGGTGGAACCTCGGGGTAGGGTGTCCGATGTGCTCCCGGGCTGGGCTGGGCTTTGCAGGGCACCTGAAGTCTTGGTATTCTAGCTGCAGTTGTACAGTGAGTGTCTTTCAAATGTCAAGCACTAATTAGGGGCTTCAGATGTACTCATTAATTCATCTAAAAATACGCACAGTTCTCCTTACAACTTTCACTAACCTTGGACACTGGGTCTAATTTCTCTTTTAAAGTAAATAGTTTCCAGAGATACTTTGTAACTTGTCTGACTTCATATCTTGCAGTTGGAAAGGGGTGAGTCTGGGGAAATGTTTCTAGTTTAGGACTGCATTGTTACATGTGTAGGTTTCTGAGTTTCAAAACAGTAGTTCTAGAAGATCTCAAAGAACACCCATTTCCAGGTTGATACGTTTGTCCTTACGCATTAGTTTATGCTAAGTTGAGCAACAAGTATACCAGAGATGTTGGGAAGATAACTATCTTTTCACTTCTTTGTTTCTTTCTTGAACCAAGAATTGAGAAAAGAACACTTGGTCTAGTCCATGGCCTTGAAACGACCACATCCTGTTAATAAAGCAGTCAGTCAGAAAGAATGGGACCTGAGTTTACCGAAGTAGACTCAGAAGATAACGTGCTCAAAAGCAGGGCGTTCAAAGGAAAGCGAAAATGGAGGAATAGAGATGATGGTGCAGAGGAGCCAGGCTGGGGAATACAGTGTCCCAGAATCAAGAAGGAAAATTGAATATGAACGAGACGATACTCAAGAACAGTGCTTTTATTATCTGCGTTGTACTCGACCAGAAGGCGGGGTCCTGTGTTTGCGCCCTAACACTGAGTAGGTTACGGTGGCCTGTGGCGCTGGGGATTCTCTCTCTGCTGGGTGAGGTGGGCCCATCAGGCAGTCTCATCTGACCGAGAGCAAAGCCACTGCTTGGGCCGATTACTGAGCAGTGGATGGTTTCTTTGTTGCAACTCTGAGAATCAGTACTTCTCTTGAGCTTTCGCAGTGTGCTAGGCCTTTTCAAGCTGCTGCCATAGCTTGTGTCGAATGAAACTCATTCCGTGTCTAGAACATGATCCACCAGCATGGGTTCGGGCCTCCCCTCACTCTGTGAAACTGCAGAATCCTCAGTAGTGAACTGAGATTTCTACGTGGTCAGTCGCCTGGTCCGGTTGTTCAGTGATCTCAGTAATTCAACCCGTTGGTTTGTGTTCTCCTTTGGTAGACTTGAAGCCAAACTGTCTGATGCACTGATAAAAAGGTTGGTTATGAATGGCCATCAGTTTAAGCCCATAGGCGTCTCTTCAGCGAGAGAAGTAAAATCTGGTCAAATCGAATTTAAAAAGATAAATCAAGTGAAAATCATTTAATTTTAGCTCTGTATTCTATAAAGATATGAATTAGAGCCAGGGATTTAGCTCAGTGGTTCCACTGCCTGCCTCACAAGCGCAAGGTCCCAAGTTCGATCCCTGGGTAGCAAAAAAAAAAAAAAAAACTGGGCATGGTAGCACAGGCCTGTAATTCCAGCACTTGGAAGGCTGAGGCAGGAGGATCACTGTGAGTTCAAGACCAACCTGGGCTACATAGTAAGTTCCAGGTCAGTCTCACCTACGTAGTGAGACCCTGTCTCAAAAAAACAAAAAAAACAAACAAACAATAAAAGATATGAATTAGAGTAAGATACCACTTTTAGCATTTTTTTTTTAAAGGTTATGGAGTGAAATAAAAAAGAACAAGACACTACTTTTAGTTTTTCTTTTTTCAATTCAGGTTCTTGCATATGTATCAAAGGCTTAGAAATATGTGTCAGATAGGGTCTTGTTCTTTTTATGGCCTTTGAATCTCTCGAATGGGTGTAAAATTCCTATTATCATCCTTCTCATGTAGTATGTGGATGAGATGATAGCAGTTTTGAGGAAATTTCTTCCTCACACAGAGGTGTAGTCTGTACGTTGAACATTTGACGAGGATATGTTCAGTAGGCCACAGGCCTGCTAATGTCAGTTAACGTGATTTCACTTTCTGAGTGCTTTTTTTTTTTTTCTCTTGAAAGGCATTTTTAATTTTCTGTTCCTCCTTTAGAGGAAGTAAGTAGGTTAGGCCACAGAATCTGAGATAATTCGTCCTTGTTACAATAACAGACGTAGGGGCAGGAAGTTGAGATTTTTGTAGAAGTTGCCCTTGGTGACTGCTCCTTTGTGTACAGTTCTCTGTGATGGAACAGATAGCAATCCAGATGTCGTCGCTGCTGTACCTTAAATATGGGAGCCTGCACCTTAAAACATGACCATTCATTAAAACGGAGGTGTTTTTGAGAAAGTATCAGTAAGGTGGAACCATTTTAGGAACTGATTTATTTTTATGTTTAAATATGTATTTCTTTTTTAATTTATTTTTTTGAGACAGGGTCTCACTATGTACTTAAGACTGGCCTTGCACTCACTATATAGCCCAGAATGGCCTCAGACTTGTGGCGATCCTCCTGCCTCAGCCTCCTAGGTGCACCACCAGGCCCAGCCTGATTTCATAATTAAAGGCAGCGTGGATCAGTTGACATTTGAATATCTGTTAAGCAAGGAAAGTTGAGAATAGAAGACCCAAATGTTGGAGGATTTGTTCTTGATTGTACTGAGATTTCACTTATCACACTGAAATAATCTAGGGTTTTACCTGTCTCAAATTTATGAACTTGGGCCCTCATGGCAAAATTTCACATGTCCCCAGAACAGTTCTCAATTCCCATGTGTGTGCCACTCGAGTTTGTATCAGCAGGGTGAGGAGAATATCAAAGCTGTAGCTGTCATGCTTGATTTGAAAGGAAACATTTGCTTTTTAGCAATGTGTTTGTTGAGAGGTGCTTCAAGTGTGAGTTTAGAGTTTTCTCTTATCCTTATTGAATAAGCTCATTTTAGAGGTTTGAATTTAACTTCCTTTGATGTGTTCTTCACTGATGCTTAAATACGGAGAGTTTCTTGGAGCAGTGATGTTATGCTTCTGCCAAAGAGGTAAATAAATACTCAGCGGCCTTGCCTTCGGTACTTGGAATTCTCTCTGGTGACGGTAAAATGGATGGACAAGCGAATTCCTTCCTCTGATATCCTCTTCACTGGTCTGCTGCTGCGTTTCCCCTTTTCATTCACTCATTCATTTGATAAACTCTGGCTCCCTGCTCTGAGTCTTCTGGGGGTTAAATGTGAGTAAATCAAGGCGTCCTTTGGAACCCACTGAAAGAGGGCCGTGTGTCTTCAGCCCTTCCTCCCGGGTCTTACGTGCTCATGCGTTGTCCAGGGTAGGAAGAGGCTGTCCCGTAGTCCCCTGGGGCCTCTCCGTGGAGGTCTGGAGCTTCTTTCTCCTCTAGCCTGCCCAGCCCCTTGCCTGCTAGGACTTCCTGTTCACCTCTGTCCCAGCTGTCTGGGTCCTGGAGCCACTGTTGCTAGGCAGGGAGGTTCCTGTGTCCCAGTAAGCTTGCCAGAGGCCCAGCCAGGTGAGGTGCCTTTTCTTCAGAACTTAGGTCTTTTTGCTGGAGGGAGGTGGGTCGTTACATCTTTGTTTTCTTTGGAAGAGCTTTGCAGAACTAGCGGCTGTTGATCTTACACGGGAAAACCTTGCCAAGCCTCTGCGACGTCTCAGAGCTCAGCCGTTGTCCTCTCCGTCCTCCTCTGCCCCAGGCTCTGCACCCCTCGAAGATGACGCAGGGCTCTGTGATGCCGGTGTGTTGGCCCTATGCGGTCATTATCCCTCACCTCTGTGCTCCAGAGCCCTGCACCTGGGGCTTGACAGCAGGTCAGCGCTCAGAACAGTGCGTTTGTTTTTCTTCACTGCTGCTGTGGCTCTGATGGGCTGAGCGTCCACTGTGGGGAGCGCTCCAGCTCCCATCTTTTTATTTTTTCGAGACAGTGTCTCACTGTGTAGTTCAGACTGCCCTGAAACTCACTATGTAGCTCAGGTTGGTCTCGAACTCTCAGAGATCCTCCTGCCTCAGCCTCAGGAGTGCACGGATTACAGGTGTATACCACCACGCCCAGCGACTCCCATCATTTTTTGTTAAAAGGTTTTATGTCCTCATGAAGGAGGTATTCCTATCCATTTTGCAGTGGGAAGAGCTACAGGGCTCAAGAGATGGAGGGTAGGCGCCCTTCCTGATGTATTATTACCCGGCTAGGAAACTAACAGTGATGTTCACACCCAGGGGCTCTGGCTGCGCAGCCTTCGCGTTTCACCATTCTGTCCCACTGAGTCGTCTTCTGCTGACTAAACCCAGTGTATCCCCGCCACCTCGGGGTGTGAAGGGCTGTTTTTTGGCTGGGTGACCTCAGTGTTCTCATCTGTAAAATGGGGATTATAGCGCTTCTCACGGTAAAAGGGAGCTGTGAGGGTCAGGCCGATGGGTGGGATGTTCAGAGGAGAAAGCCCTGGGAGCCCCCTGGCCCAGGGTGGCAGCTGCCGTCCTGGTGTCTGGCCTGGTGTTGGCCTCCCACTCGGGCTTGCTTTGGTGTGTGGCACTTCCCCGGGGAAGGCCGAAGGTTGCTCTGGCGGGAGGTGACCGAGGTGTGTGTCAGAGCTGTGGGGGTCTCGCGATGCCCTTGTCCAGGTCACCGTCAAGGCTGGCCTCCCAGGATGGGGACGCTCCTCCTCACCTTCACTTCTTGCCCGCATGCGCTTCCGTGGTGGTGTTTGCTGGACTCCGTCCGCTGGGGTCATGCGGAGGCTGCCCGCTGGGCCTAGGCTGCTGGGGACACAGGCTGTCCTCACGGCTTCCTGAATATGGCTTGGAGGGAGCAGACTTCGGCGATGCCGCACATCTTGCTCCAGTGCAGGCAGCCCAGCGTGGTGGAGGTGCGGCCTCCAAGGGAGACTCCTGCAGGAAGAAGAGTGTGGTTCGAGTCCACCTTCCTCCCAGAGTGGCGGATTCTTCAAGATTTTCACTGTGTGTGTGTGTGTTGTGTGTGTGTGTGTGTGTGTATGTGTGTGTGTGTGTGTGTGTGTGTGTGTGTGTGTGTGTGTTGGGGGATAAGATATTGAACCTAGGGCCTTCACCCCTAACTATATCCTCACTCCTTTTTTACTTTGAGAAAACATCTTCCTAATACACTCAGTTGTCCAGGTGGATTCAGGTTTGTGACCCTCCTGCCTCAGCCTCCTAGAGTGCTGGGATTACAGGCATGTGCCACCATGCCCAGCTAAAATATCTACTTATGAAGTAGCAATCCTAACTTCCTCTGATGTAGGTTTGAAGGCAGGTGGCTTACTATCATAGATGCTATTGGAATAAAATAAATTGGGGAAAAATTACTAATTTTGTATTAGCCCATGTTGGCAGTACATGATGATTACATTCTTCATGGGGAGTTGGTACATGTACATGTATGTGGCAGCTTAATTCTTCTACTAGTTTTATTACTTTTTTTATTATTGTTTTGAGACAGGACCTCACTATGCAGTTCAGGCTGGCCTTGAACTCACTATGTAACCCATTCTGGCCTGGAACTTGTGGTGATCCTCCTACCTCAGCCTCCTGTGTACTGGGATAACAGGTGTGCACCAACATGCCTGGCCTCCTAATTTTTTTTTAAGGGTACTGAGTAATTCTTATGAACTCAAACAATTGTTTAACTAGATAATTATAAGAAACTACCATCTTATTGCTTGTTTTCTCTGAGACAGCCGAGGTTTTGCCCGCTTTATCTGATCTGTTACCCAGTGGAGAAAGGTTCTGTTGCTCTCCTGCAGCTCGCCCATGGGAAAGTCAGGACTTGAACAGGGTAATTTGCCTGTAGTCACAGAACAGGTGCTCATCATAGTTTAAAAAGTGCCGGAGAGGACGAGACAAAAAGGTCGTGTGGGAAGGGTGAGGGATAGAAAGAAGAGAACACGGGTGGAGGAGCGCGGTCAGGGAGGGTGATTCTCCAAGGGACTTGGTTTCACTTCTGAGAGGGTGGCGGTTGAGGGGAGCGGCCCTTTCCCTCCTCTACCAGAGCGCCACTGTTAGGCCCTGGGGCTGTGGTGCAGCGCTGCGTGACTGGTGACCGCGTCTCTGAGGAAGCAGGAAGCCCCTAACCGTTCGCGTTCGCTCTGGTCCTGGTGGGCTCCAGCCCGCAGGCCCTTGGGCTTCCCCAGGGACGGCTTTCCCGCGGCCGTGGCCCTGTTGCTTTCTCCGGAGTTGCCGGCTCTGCTGCGGTTCAGCGATGAGTGTCGGGTCGGCGCTCGTTCCGAAAGGGCCCTGGCTTTGCTAACCCCAAACTGGACAGCGTAGCACAGCCGCGCCACCTCTCATCTGAGTGACGCATCTTCGTCTGACTCAGATTTTAATCTGATTTGGCTTTTGAGGCAATGTCTACCCCCATTTTAAGACCACACTCAGCTCCCAGCCCTAGCTTCCCCGCACCTTCTTTTTGAGAGCACACTTGATGACTATTAAATGCAGCTTTGAAGAAAGCAAGTCTAAAATGACTAAAACTGTTTAGCTAATCTAATGGCCATCGACTGGGCATTTAATTTAATTTTAATTAATTAATTTTTTAATGAAGCAGGGTTCCTCTGTAGTTCAGGCTGGCCTCGAACTCACTACGTAGCCCAGGGTGGCATTCCTCCCGCCTCAGCCTCCCCAGTGCTGGGATTACGGGTACACGCCTTCACACCCTGCTCATAGTGTCGTTTATTCAGGGAGAACAGTGGTTTGTGCAGGAATGACCGGATGTTCTTGGTCCCCCTCCTCAGGAGTCCTTCCACTGTTGTTTTGCTCTGAGCTGCGCACCCTGGGCAGGTTGCTGTCTTCTCCCCTCGGCCCCGGGGCCGGAGGATCCACACCCCTCACTGTGAGCCTCTCCCTCCCGTGCATGGTAGACCGGCAAGAGGAGGTGGCGTGAAGGAAGGAGTATGAAGGACTCCTGCTTTCTTTTGATCTCCAGTCACAAAGATACAGTGGATTCTTGATGTTTAGGCAGGGTAGGTTCCGAGACAGTTGCAAGTCTCAACTTGAAAAAAAAAAATCATTGTAACACGATATTGCTTCTATAAAATCGCCAAAGTATAACTGAAACATTTAAATGACCCTTAAGTACTTGTCTCGCTTTGATGAGTGATTTTTGTACTGTCTGGAGCGCGTACTGAAACAAGTTCACACATCTTTTCTGCTTCTTTCTTTCTCGAGTACTTGGTACTTCAGTTCACACAGTGTGACTCATCACTGCGTTTGACATTTCAGTCTGTCATTTATCCGAAACTTCTGTTTTGTGGCTAGAACCTGTTTCATAAATGTTTCCATATTCCCTCATTCCGTCAGCAACACTAGACTTAAGTCAAGTAGCAGTTCATTTATTTTATTTATTTTTATTATTTCCTTCCGTGAAGTCTATTGGTGCATTTTAGGTCCACGGCACAGTCACGTTCATCACTGGGATCTTGTACCGTCACATGACAGGTCTCGGTTCTCAGTTTTTCCCGTGTCCCTGCCCTCCTCACCCGCTCCACCCGTCGCTGTCATTCGTTTTGTTTAGATAACAGAGGTGTCATCACTTGAGTTACAGTGTTCACAGCACTGGGACAAACAGCATCCCTGGGTCCTGGCTGTAACATCCAGTTTGGCCCAATCACACCTCTGCAGAACGACCAATTACAAGTCACGAGAGCCGCGGGTGTTAGGAATGGGGAAGCCACAAATGTGCAGTCTGGGACTCTGTACCTTTGGTGAGAGGGAGAACACCACACTTCTGCCGCCACCATGGGTCGAGCTGATCCCCGTGTATAGACCGCTAACGCCGGCTGCATAGATGGCTCTCCGGGCGGGCGTGCTGCGGAAGTCCACTCCCCTCGGTGACTTCAGATGACAGCCTCAGTGGTTGACGTTGTAACAGACATGTCCGTGGAAAGATAACACTTCTTACCATTTTAAATAAACACTAAACGAATTAAAAGCTCGTTTTGGTAGTTAAAATATTATTTGAGCACTCGTCAGGTACACCCAAGAGTGAACAGAGGGAGGCACCGCCGCTGAGCCCCTGTGCCCCTCTTGGGCGCAGCCTTCCACAGACAGTCTGCGTCTGCACGAGCAGCTCACCCATGTGTGCACGCCCCTTTGATCACACACAGAGGGTAGCACACAGTGTTTGTGCCGTGCACAAAATCAGTAGGGTTTGGATTTCCATGGAGTTCTTTCTGTATCGGGATGCAGAGTTTTCTCCTCATTTATTGTGGCGTTGCCTACTTTTATGTGGATTAACTACATTTGTCCTCCACTGAGCGACATCTGGGCTCTTGACTATTTCGATACATAAATGCATTTCTTTTTTCTTTTCTTTTTTTTTTTTTTTTTTAATGGAATGTGCTGAATGTCTATAATTTTGTTCAGATGACTGCAGAACCTGGAAAAGCTGTTGCTGCTATCGATGCATAACATACTATTATTAGTCTTTATATATATATAGATATCTATCTATCTATCTGTATATCTGTATATCTATATATATATACACACACACGTATATATATAAATTGAATTTTGGGAAACTTTAACGGTGCTGCCAACTTTGGAAAAAGTCATCCCAATTTACTGTGTTGACTTGGCATTGTGCAGAAATGGACAACCATATTGGTCTAGAAATGTTAATTTTAATTTTAATTTTAATTTTTTTCCATGTGTACAGGGGTAACACAGCATACTAAATATGTAAGGTCATATCTACGTGGGTTTGATTACAGAAACTAATAAAGTATTCTCTAAATAATGAAAAAAAGAATAAGATAAGACTATAAGAGCGAGAAGCAATTTAAATATGTTCAGGGACCATTTTCATCTCCAGAATTAAGGGTTATTTTGATGTTACATCATTGCCTTTTCTCTTTTACTTTCCTTTTTAGTTTTATTTTAGGATTCCCTATTTTTAATATTCATACAGAGATTTCTTTAACTGAAATACCGAATAGTTTCTTTGGTGTGAAAAACTACAATAGTACACAGGATCCTAATGAGATAATTAATAATGTGAAATAGGAAGTAAAGGGCATAAATGCATTTCTATAAGAGAAATTTCAAGAAGTAGCAGGGCTGAGTTGGAAGACTGGGTCTCGAATGCCGATCCCTATAATGCCCCCTTCTCTGTTACCTGCCAGCAGAAGGTTCCAGGGGTGGGGTGGGAATTTAATGCAGACCCTTCTGCATGCTGAGCGCCTCTCTGTCGCAGAGCTGCTGCTTACCCCCTTGGCGTGGACTGTGCAGTACAAACTGAACTTGTAGCTCCGTGGTAGAACACTTGTCTAATATGTGCAAGGCCACAAGCACCTCAGAAAAATTACTGATTTTTACCACCACCTAAGTTAAGTGGTGCATGGAAATCTCAGCACCATTTAACAGGTGATTTGGGATAGGATTTCTTTTTTCATACCAGCGATTGAACCCAGAACCTTGAGCTTGGGAGGTAGGCAGGGTGCCACTGAGCTAAATCCCTGGCCTGGAATAGGATTCTTTTTTTGCACGGGGGGTGAAGGGACACAGGATTTTCTGCAGAATGTGAAATGCTTTTGTAAGTTACTGTGTTACCCACCTGGTTTTTGTCACCTGGTTTTGTGGTACACAGGTTATGCATGGAATTATATGGAATAGCATCAGATGGTAATAGCAGAAACAAAACTGGACAAGAACATTACTGAGTATTGAAAAAAAAATCTAAGTCGTGAGGACATAATTTGTTGAAACAAAAGAACTCTGTGTTTGTAGGCACCCACATGGGGTGTGAAAGAAGGGAGGAAGACTGGACGCATCTTAGCAGCAGCAGCTTTTGTTAATTTAGTACTGGCTGCTGGCTGTTCTACCTGATTAATATTTAGGGGAAAACACTTAATCTGCTGTAGCCATCCAGACCTCTTGCATCATTGAAAGTAGCCAGTGGCTTTAATAAAATTAGATGATGGGAAACATAATATAGTAAATGTTTCTGTGCTATCATATTTAATACAAAATATCCATAAACCTTAAAATGAAAAAAAAAGGGACAAAAACAATTTTCACATGTTTAGTTATGTGCTTACAGTCTGAGTACCTATGCAATCATTAATGTATTGAATAGCAGAAGCACGCTCTGATACATCTAGAAGCTCATAATAAACATTTGCAGCAGGTTTTGTACAGTCCTAGCTTTTAGATTGATCTTCCTAGGTATGGATAACATTTTATTGCTGTGCATTTTATGCATGTGTAATTTTTAGGTAGGAAAACACTAAAGGTTATGGTTGTGCTCAGTTTATTCAGCAGGGAGGAAATTATTCTGTCATTCTACAGCCTACCAGGAAAAAGTTGCCATTCGTACCTCACTTCGTAGAGAGTCATTTTCACTGCTGACCTGTCTCCACTGAGTGGGAGAGAAACCCAATAAAAATATAAGTAGAAGTCTTCATTCATTTCATATTTCCAAAGTTTCTTAGTTTAATTCTTCTGCGGCCTTTATATCCTAGTTCTCAGCCTCCAAGGATTAAGTCTTAATGATAGTAAAATCTGATTCTTATTCAAATTCAAAGTGCATACATTTCAAAGTCTCTAATATTTGATATTTAATGTCTGGAAATTTCCAACAGAAGCGCTATCATTCAAAGAAGCACAAGCTTTTGTTTTTCTATGGACTATTTAAAAATGGATGAATGCATATGAAAAGAAACAACACTTAAAAAGAAATCTTGGGTTTTTTTTCAAGCATATACAAAGCAAGGACGTAGTTATAATAAACTGCCACAGACTCTACCTGTATCTAGACCGTGCCCAGCATGCAGCCAGTCTTATCTTACCACTGTACCTGCATTGGTTAATTTACAGCAGATTTCTCACATTGTGTCATTTCAGTTTGTATCACAAAAATATGAAGGAGAAGTGGCCTTCTGAAAGTCTATGCCATCATTATCCCTTAAAACAATAACATTTCTCTGATATCAGGCAGTTGAATGTATTATTTCCCCTTCTGTCTGATAATCATTTTTTTAAAAGTAGTTTAAGTCAGGATCTAGACCAGATCTGTGAGTTGTGATAATGTGATTGGTTAATTTGTCTCTTAATCTCTCAATCTAGATTTCAGATTTTCTTTACTGTTTTGTTGTTGTTATTGTTGATTCCTTGCAGTTCGTTGTGGGGGGGGGCTCATCAAATAGCAGTGACTTACAGACTTTTTCCTCTACACTTAAAGGTGTTTGAAAGGTCAAAAAAGTATTGCTCATATGGGTACTGTATTAGAAATAAATTTGGACTAGTTATTGAAAAATGCTAATAACAAACCCAGGATATCGTAATATGCTAAGGTTGACTGAAAGATAGTCATAGTTTCAAAATAAAAAATATGTGAGAAGAGCGGCATTGTGTCACACCTCTGCCGATCTGTTTAACGCCCAGCCAGCGTAGTGGAAGGAGGCTGAATTCCTCCTTACCACTTCACCGTTGTCTGTTGCCATACAGTGTTTTGGTTGAGTTACAGTCTAAGAAGAAAATCCAGCCTCACGTCGATAGCTGGTAGGATGGAAAAATACGTTGGATGGTTATTTTTTTTTTAAATGCGGTAAAAGACACATTGCCTGTAATCTTTCTCAGAACACACCCCCCTACTTCGCACACACTTAAAACATCTTGCCACTTTCCGAAGCAGTACAGGCGGTCCTTTTCCCTCAGTGTTGTGGCTGTGTCGGCGTCCTCAGTTGATTCAAACTGTTTACTTTTCACGGTAGTTTTGACTTTGGAGAAGAGCCACAAGTCACCTGGTGCCAGACGCATTGAACGGGGTGGATGGGGACACAGCGTCAGGTTTTCGTGACCCTGCCTTTCCAGCGCGTGGCGCCTGGCGGCGGCACTCACCGCATTTTTAATTACCCCATTTTTTGCTTCAGAAAGTGGCAAGCACAACGGGATAAGTGTGCTTGAAGTGAGGGAGGCATTTTGAGGGGGACTCGTGGCAGTATATCTTTTACTTTAGTACTTTATAAAACTTTAATCTTCCCCATGTATTTTGATCACTCCTTGTAAAGCAGTTAGAAAAGACAGAAGTGTTTTGTTGGCCCTCAAGATTCTAGTGCGCGTTCTTCTCTGACACCACACGAAACTTGCCAGGTGGTAGTTTGTTGAAGGTTCGCTGAGTGTGTAGTTTGAAACCTCACCAGGGAGCCTTTCATACTCTCGCATTAAAATCCGTCTGTCGTCTGTCTGGTGCTTTGACTGGATCCCTTCAGTGTGCAGAGCTTTGTAACTGCGGAAGATGTTGCTGTGCTGAACAGTACGGCTTTTCCGAATGCTGACTCTTGCATTACGAAGCGTTTTCCTTGTCGCATTCTTATCATTGCCCAGCCATCGCCTCAGTGAAGTCTTAGCTGGAAACCCATCAAATTCATGTTGCTGGACATACGCTTTCCAAAATCCTGGTTTTCCTGTGAATGCCCAAGTTTTATGATTAGCAACAAATACTGTCAGTGTTTTTCTTTACGGGTTGGGCTCACCTCATTTACTTTCGACACAATACTTGCCAAATACCCAAACCCAAATAAACACAGCTTGTTAAGTGAAAACGGCATTTCATATAAAAAGCAGCCTGTCTAGCTTGCATGTCAAATAATGCACAGGCGCTTTTTTCTTTTTCTAAAGTAGGAGTTGGTTCCCTTGTGTATTCAAAAGATGGTCAGTGAGGCATTTGTTTGTTTGTTTGTTTCCTTGTTTTGATTTGAGGATTGCTGTGAACTCGTGGTTTTAAACCTCCTGGTAGGCTTCCATACTCTGTGGTTAATGTGGATGGTCCTGCTTTGCCCTACGGTGGCTGGCAGGAGCCCTCCTGGGTGGCCCCTGAGCTCCTTGTGTATGACTTTTTTTGTCCTTGATAATAACTTCTTTGCCTTCTTGGTTGACAAGATGCTACAGGCTCATCTTGGACATTTCCTGCCAATGAGCAGAAACCTGTTCCTTCCCTGGGGAGATTTGGGAGAAATGATACTTAGGTGCCCCAGTCTGAGTACGAGGTTGCTCATTTAGCATGGATCGTTGATGATATCCAGACTTTTTTTTGGTGGGCAAAGGTAGAAAATATGCATATTTTAAAAGTAAAATATATGAATTCCTACTGATACTTTGCAGTCAAATTTAGGATCCATTGATCCTTTGTGGCTTGTGTATGATACCCACCGAATTACTTACTTGTTTTACCTCATACTGACAGATGACAGGTTTGGAACACTTTCAGTATTGCCACGGATGATGTGATTATGGAAAGCAGTTCATTTTGCAATTTAAAAAATGAAAATAAAAATATCACAGTTTGACTAGCCATCTTGGTTATCTTAACAGCGTAATTATTGGTGCTTTTGCTGTATCTTTTAAGATTGTTTTCTTGTTCCTTAGAACAACAAGTTGACAGATATTTCAACTGCCTAGAATATTGACTTTATAAAAGATCCAGTCACACTGTCCATTCATGTATAGGGAGCAAATACTTCATTGAGAAGCTTAGTGTGTGACGGTCAATAACAGACTGAATTTTCCTGTTATTTTCATCTACCAAAATGGCCTATTTTGTGTGTATCAGTATTGTATTTCATTCAGTGGTCCTTCCTCGTCTGTAGTTTCACTTTTTAAGCTTTCAGTTTCCTGAGGTCAGCCTCAGTCTGAAAATATTAAATGGAAAGTTCCAGAAATTAGTGATAAATTTTAAATTACAGTCTGCATAGCATGATTAACTGTTGCACTGTCCTGTCCATCCTTGGATCATCCTGCTGTCCAGCGTGTCCATGTTGTATACGCTACCCTGTGGACAGTCACGTTGTAGGGGTCTTGGGTATCACGGTGCTTCGTTCAGATAACCCTTATTTTATGCAAAATGGCCCTGGGCTGCCAGAGCGCTGATGCTGACTATGAACATGCTGACTTTGAATATGCCAAAGACAAGTTATAAATTATTTTGTATGAGCGAGAAGGTGAAACAGCTCAACTTAATAAGGAAAGAAACACAAGTCTTGTGCTGAGGTTGCTGAGATCTTTAATAAGATGTGAATCTCTTACTGAGCCTAATTTATAAATTAAACTTCATTGCAGGTATATGCATATGGGAAACAAAAACATAGTTATATTTAGGGCTTGTACTATTTGTGTTTGTAGATATCCACATATTCCAAGGAGAAGGGAGTACTACTGTATAAATTCTGATACCTACTATCATTCCAATGCCACTGAAAAATGAAAACCTTCTTAGAGGGCAAGGAATTCTATCTGTATGGTATCGTGCTTTTTAAAAAGATTCAAGTGACTATACCATGAATCAGTGAATTCCTTTTCTTTTTAAGAACAGCAAAAGTTTACTGGAATGTTCCTATTTTTCTCCTGTAATCTATTAGAAATTGCACTGGGAGAAAATGATAGATGTGTGTGTGTGTGTGTGTGTGTGTGTGTGTGTGTGTGTGTGTGTATTTTCTTCAGTGCTGGGGATAGAGCCCAGGACCTCACACACACTTAGCACTGTGCCTAAGCTATTGCTGTGTTACATCCCCAGCCTCATTAAAGATATTTTTGAGGGCCGGGATTTAGCTCAGGGGCACCACACCTCCCTTGTGAGCACAAGGACCTGAGTTTGATCCCTAGTACCCCCTCAAAAAAAAGATATTTCGGAAGCACTTGCTTTAGATTTGTAGATATGGGATCTGGTGGGAAACTGAAGGGATCATCATTCAATTAAAAACTAACTTGCCTGTGGAATATGTAGTGATTTTGCTTTTTCCCTCCTTTGAGGTCAAAAAAGAAATCATGACTGAATCTGCCTCTAGCACAAGCGGTCAAGAGTTCGATGTGTTCAGTGTTATGGACTGGAAAGATGGAGTAGGTACATTACCAGGAAGTGACCTAAAGGTAAGCTGTCTTTATTACACATAATTACATGTGTAAGTGTGCTGCACATCTGTGTGTTTATTTTAAAATGAGTACACATGTGAAATAATTAAAAACATCAAGCATCGTGCTTCAGGTTTACAAAATGCTTACATATCTGTAATAAGCTCCCATGGCAGCTTGAAGTGCTGGCAGACCAGCCAAAACTTTTGTCACTTGGGTAGTTCTGCAGCCCGTGTTTATTTTGCACATCATTGATCTATTTGACTGTCTTAGTGTTGACTCCATCGTGATGGCCAATAAAGGCAGAAATGTGTTCCCCAAAGTCCTAGCTTCTTGGAGGGTTGTAGTATTGGCTTTGTAACTGAGTAACTACTCATTCCCTGTGCCCTCGTGTTCTCAATGAAAAACTCAATAAAATAAATAATATACATAAACAAATTACATTAAAATATTGAATAAATAGGACTGTTCGTCTCTCTTACATTATTGACAGTGTAAATAATGGATTTTTGTACAATCACATGTTCAGTAGCAGGTGATTCTGTAAGTGAGACTGCTTTTGGGCTGATGAGAACACTCTTTTGCAGTCTCATTCAGGCTGTTGCTTTTATAGGTGCTTGCTCTAGACCCTTTCCCAGGCCTCCAAAGCCATTCTGGGGCACCTCTACTGCCCCAAAAGACGTGATTGTACAAGCACCCATCTGGGGATGTGGCCGCCCGACCTTTCACTTCTGATTTGCTTTTCCTCTCATCCTATCGCCGAGACCTTGAAACCTACCCGCGGCCCTTTAGACTTTGCATTTGTACCCGGTCATTCACGTGTTTAAACTTCTCATCTCCCTGCCAGGCGGGCACTTGGCTGGCCTTTCCAATGCTTGATAGAAATTTCTACCCTATAGTCCAGGTTTCTTGGAATCTAATTCCTCTTGGTGTCTGTTTGACAAGTATCATAGCCACGCCCGCCCTTACCATTCCACAGTGGTGCGGTTTGGAAAAATGCTTGAGATTTTAGTTAGCTCCGGTTTAGTTAAGTGCAGTATTGCAACATCTGGTTTCAGGGTAAAAAAATATTGTAATGATGTTTCATGAAGTCTGGAGAAGGGGTTGATTTTTCTCAATGGGCACCAAAACAGGTAGGAGGAATTAGTTTAGTGTTCTACAGCACAGCGGGGTGACTGTACTCTCCAGCTATATACATACACTATTTCTGAGTAAAACTGCAGAGTCCTGCAGTCCCCTCTTCCACAGGAATGGTAAATATTGGTGATGGAAGTTTTTCTTACCGTGATTTGGTCACTGTACATTGTGTACTTAATACACTGTACCCCATGAATATGCAGAAATATTAAGTTCAATTTAAATTATTTTTAAAAAGAAATTGTGCTTTTAGCCACCTTGACCAAATCAGCTTTTTGTCTTTGGGGATTTTATCTGCCCTGACACTTCCAAATGGCCATCTGGATACAGTATGCTAATGTTTTGAAATTTTTTGAGAAAGAAACATTGTTTCTTAAACTGACAATGTCAGCCATATATTGCTCCCCTGAGCTTTGTCAAATTATCTAAAATCCTAAATTTTGTGAGCCTTATTTGTAAAATCAGGCTGTTGGAACCTAGAAGATGCTAAACCATGAAGTGGTTAGGAAGATGTAAATAAATAAGTAAGCTTAACAAAACTGTCTATTTCCTGGCTTTGCAGTATAGTTTGTAAGCTGCTTTTTTATTGCTTAATTTTTTATTTTTCTTGTACATGTTTGTATCCTTATTTTCTAGTAGCTGTTTCTTTGAGTGTCAGGTGGATGATGAAATCTGTAACTTTTGTTGAGTTAGCACTGACATTAAAGTTCCCAACCCTAAGTAATTTGGATGGGTTTAAGATTTTCTAAGCAATGCATTATAGGTAATTACATCATTAATCAAGTAATTAAACCATTTAGTGGGCATTGTAATCTGAATTATTTGATATGACTTTTTGATTCATCTAATTACTGGGGCAATTGCCGGGCATCCAGTTCATTTCATGTTCTGTGTTGTAGACAATTTAGGTCTTCACTTTAAAAAAAATAAATAAAAAAATTACTTTCAACTGTATACCCCTCATGATCTGAGATTTAGAGACTAGCCCATTGATTGTATTGCTTAGGATTTTTAATTCACTTGTTTCTTGCATTAAAACGTAAGTTCCTTAAGAGAGCTGATTGAGAAATTGATGTTTCATGCAATTAAAACATTGGAAAGAGCTGTGAATAAACCATGACTATCTGTCCTATCATGCATCGGCTGTTCCACACGAGGCAGGCTCTGGTTGTCAGGAAGGGTTGTGAAGTTTTAACAGCATGGTAGTCTGAGATGGCCAGCCCAGGTTCATTCAGCTGGTACAGTCAGCTCATGCATGAGCGCTGATGTTCTGTTTTGGGAGGAGGTTTCTATTTGCTTTGGGTTTTGCTGTTTTGAAAGAATTCTCCTCTGTGGAAGCCTGGGATTGCTGGCCGGTCCCATTTCGTCACTACACCGCCACATCTCTGTGAGCCATGGCTGGGACCTTGAAAGGTTGGCAGAGTTTGCATCCCTTAACTTTCCCACAGGAGGTGTGTGTGTGTGTGTGTGTGTGTGTGTGTGTGTGTGTGTGTGTCTGTCTGTCTATCTGTCTGCATCTGGAGAGAGAGAGAGAGAGAGAGAGAGAGAAAGAGAGAGAGAGAGAGAGGTTTGGCCCCTCTTTCCTTTCTGGCCTCATCTCGTTTGTACCCAGCCCTCTGAGTCCGCTTTGCTGTTCCTGTTGCTGGAAGCGTCCCTTCCCCTCTCCAGCTCCAGACAAATGACCCTCGCATCCTCACATAAACAGAGTGAGACGCGGGGAGACAGGGACCTTACTCTGGTGAGCAGGAGCCGAGTCTGTGTAACCCTTTCGGGGAGCGGTGTTAGGCAGCGTCTGTCGTTCACCGTTTGCGCAGAGGCCCCGAGTGCTGTACGCATTTGCTCAAGTCAGACACCGGCAGAACTGGGTCTCAGACCAGGCTTCCCTGACATTGGAGTGGATTTTCTCAACACTGCTCTACTGCTGTCTAAAGACAGAGAGCATTTCCCTGTCAACAGAGATGCAAGGAGAGTGTTACAGGGACGTGCGGGTGGTGACGATTTATTTCATCTGGAGCCATCAGGAAGGCTTTGAAAAGCAGGTACCATTTGGCCTTCAGGTGCTGGGACATAGGCAGCAGTTTCCATGATGACTTCCAGGAGAAGAGCTTCCCAAAGAGGACACAGCTTCAAGGAGAACAGCAAGATCGGGGCTGCTCTCGAAAACACTGTGATCATTAAGAGGCAGTTCTGCCTAAGAGATGTTGGCAATTTTACCACTGCCTAATTTGTTCTCTGAAGATGTAAATAAGTACTTGTCGATTAATGTCTCAGGACAGGCAGTGGGACGGTGCCTGAAAGGGCTCCCTGTGCCTCCGTAGTTTATGTACATGAACTTCTGATGGTGTCTGAAATTTACCCACAGGGAATTATTCCCGTAGGTCGTAAGGATTTAGCCTTCCAGAGTCCCTGGGTAAGAGGTTGATACTCTCCCGAGAGCTATCGCATGTTATCTGGTAAGAATAATTGCCATTTAACTGAGAGCAAGACCTGCAGTGATGAAGGCGGAAGCCTAGCAGTAGAATTCACCTCACTCTAAATGCACAGGGTGCCTTCCCTTGATGAATGTGTAAGACGACTTCATTATCAAACATCTTTGCCCTTACCACACACTGGTACTGTAATTAGAATTCAAATTTCAACATTGAAAGTAGTAAGACAAAAATAATACCCTTGGTCACTTCTCTTAATGATCTATTATTAAAGATAAGCAAAAGTAGGCAATAGAAATAGAGAAGACGGCCAGGGATTTAGCTCAGTTGTTCTGCTTCCTGCCTTGCAAGCACAAGGTTCTGAGTTTAATCCCTGGAACCAGAAAAAGAAAGAAAAGAAGAGAACTGAATCAATTCAGGGTAGTTCAAGCCACCCCTTGAACATCTCAGGTGTAATTGTTTGCTGAGTGACTTGTGTATATCCACATGCAGGAGTTATCATGTCAGCTGCCGTATTTCATTTGCTTAATAAGTCACCTTTGTAGCTGGGCATGGTAGCGCATGCCTGTAATCCCACACTCGGGAGGCTGAGGCAAGAAGATCGCTTGAGCAGATCGCTTGAGAAGATCTCGTGAGTTCGAGACCAGCCTGTGCTTCATAGTGAGTTCTAGAGCAGTCTCAACTACATAATGAGACCCTGTCTCCAACAAAACAAAATGAAACAAAAGTCACCTTTGTAAAGTTTATAATTTTGATATTCTTGTGTGTAGAATGGAGCCACTTGACAAATTTTCATACTGTTTTAGGTTAAAAGAACTGATAATTTTAAAAAATGGAGGGGGGTGGCCTTACCAATTTCAGGACCTGAGTGTTTAATTGGGAAGAAAAGTTAGGAAATCTGTAAGTCTCTCTGCAGTTTTATGGTTCAGACCCCAGCAGGGTTAGCGGTACCCAGAATACTGCTAACATTTTCTGCAGTAGCGTACTGGGGAACACACAGGAAGCCCAAGTAGAGAAGCCACAGAATAGCTTCTTCCCTGTATGTTTTTGCACGTGATGGGGTACCTGGAAAAGGCTTTGAGGTTTTTAACTTTTGAGATGAGTGACTTCGTCAGAGCGGATATGCTTTGCTCTCTTAGGGTTATCTGGTGCCTTTGAAGATCTGATGAGCCTTAGCCCACCCATCTCTATGCATGTACCCTCATTTTGTTCATATTTCTTGCATCCTGTTTTGAAATCTGTCTGTGGATCTGTGGCTTAGAGGAGTTCCCCATGTCCCTGAGATGTACACTATGTTTCTACTTTCTAGTTTGACGATGGGTCAGTTTTTGGCAAATGATATCAGGAGAAGGAAAAAGTGATTGAGATTGAATGTTATATGGGGGATTAACTTTTAGCTTTAAAAGTATTCGAGCCAAACACTGCCGCAATCCCATAGTTCTGCATTTTTACTCGGGGGTTGTACCCCATGGTTTCCTCTTTCTCAGCATCTGAAATGCAGGGTGGCTTCCAGGTCAGCAAGTTTGTAGATTTCAGCCATGGGATCCTTTTTGTTTAATGTAAATGTCTGAGGCCATTTCTCCTATATTGATTTTGTCAAATAAGCATGCATTAACATCAGTAACATTTAATCAAAGTAAAATTACTTGCCTGGAGTGGATTATGAAGTTTGTTCCTGCTTTTTTTTTTTTTTTTTTTAAATCTTAATTCAGAATATATTTTCTGTCACATTCTTTAATATCATTAATTAATAACTATCACAACGGCCTGTTTTTTCTGCTCTTGCCCAGTAGATGGTACTGTCAGCCTTATTTTGAAATATTCTGTTTTCAGATTCAATCATTAAGAGTCTGCTTTTTCAGTTTAAGATATCATTTTCCAAAAAGTAAAGTTATATTTAGTTCTTTCCCATCTCATTAGCTTTTGACACTTCCTAGACTAACATGAACTACATACGCATTACCTGGGAAGTTAGCTTGGAATATAGTAAGGAGAAGGCATTCTCCTCAACTATTTCTAACTCATGCAACCTAGAGCACCTGGTGGAAACAGTAATTAATGTTTGACGCGTATTAAGATTTTTCTGGCTTAGCATCAGACTGTCATTTGATAAAATAAAAATTGAGTTGGTATGCTAACCAACTGGATTTTTTAGGTTGGGAAATGGAGGGCCTTGGTTAAATACTATATATATGCATGTTTATCTGTGTTTTGATGAAAAGGCCTAAAGAAGTTTTATTGTCCTTTAGAATTTTGGGTTTCTACCTGCTCGTCATCTGTTAAAAATCTGTGAGTCTCTCCTGCCGTTATATTTTATAGAAAACCAGAAAGAAATCAGAAAACTGTTTTCGTGAAGTCAGGACTATGAGAGTACACCGCCCTGTTTCAGAGAGGACAGGCCCTGCACATAGCTAATGGTCACACTTCAGCGCACAGGCTGCAACCAGATAGTTGCCGAAACATACTTTGTTTAAAGCTTGCTATGAGAAGAGAGGAGATTTGCAAAATTCAGAATGAGAAAGTCTGGGAAGTCAAAATACCACTCACCTTGAGGGATAGAATTGGTCAGAGCCAGGGGACCTGGTCAGCGGTCACGGATGTTTCCAGGGGGTCGGGAGGACTCAAGGTGAAGGTGGTGGAGAAGTTTAAAGGTCTGTGAAGGAAGGGGAAGTGTAGTCCTGGGCAGGGGAGATGTCCGTGGACCACCTATTCTGCACGGAGCCATCATTTCCTTGTCCTGAACGAGGTGAGCTTGGTGAGGTAACCTGATTCCTGAGAAAAAATAGTTTTTTAATTCATGGATAATTAAATAAGCAAAAACATAAAATTAATAAAACAAATCTTAGTAAAAATCGTGTCTGAAAGGATTAGTAAAATCCACGTAAACGGGAACTGTATAGGACAGTGATGGTGAACCTGTGGTGTGCGCATTACATTTTTCTTTTAAGACCAAAGATGTCAGTGTGTGAGTTATTTTGTCTAGACTAAAACTTCAGTATCGAGGTTTAGTTGTGGTGCTGCCACTTTGCGATAAACAAGTGGGTTTTGGGTTGCAATTTGGACACCTGTCTCTAAAAGGTTCGCCATCCCTGGCATAGGACGTACAGCTCCCAAGTGGGCAGGATGCAGAGGTCTTCACACTGGCAGAAGGCTTATCCAGCACATAATTAAAAAATAATAATAACTTGTAACAGTGCGTTTGCTTAGAGACTTTTATGCATCGGTCACAAAGCAGTGCTGCAGTTTGCTTCTCTTTACTGTGTTGTCTCTAGTTTCGGGTAAATGAGTTTGGAGCCCTGGAAGTTATTACAGATGAGACTGAGATGGAAAATGTTAAAAAAGCAACTGCCACCACCACATGGATGGTACCGACTGCTCAAGAAGGTAAGAAAGAGCCTTTGGCCTTTTATTTCTTCCTATGGAAAGCTTTGAAATAAAGAATCTCCGAGGTTTTATAGTAGGGCTGGAACTTTGAAAGTCCTGGATGCCTGTTTGGGTCTCCTGTTCTGGGATAAATTGCTGTAATGAAACTGATAGGAGCCGATTTTATATTTTAAAATAATTATAAACTGTCTTCTTTTCTAATGCCAGATCTGTAATAGCACAAGGTTAGTTGAAAATTATCAAGTCCATCTAAGTCGTAGTCGCCTGCCCAGGTTATTTAGCCGAGAGCCTGCGCCCTTTTTCTCATCTGCTCCGATGGTTGTAACTAACACCTGTATGCTGATGACTCCTCCGTCTGTATTCCCAGCCCCGACCTCTCCCCCGAGCTCCAGGCCGGTATTCCCACCTGCCTACTGGACATCTCCACCTGGTTGTCCCACAGGTACCTCAAACTCCACATGTCTGAAGTGCGACTCGTTTTCTGTTTCTCTCTCCCTCCCTGAAATCCCGCTCTTCCTCCCGTGACTCCTAGAGTCCAGGGTAGCGTCACCCGCCCAGTAGCAAGCAAGACCTAGAGGAGTGAGTCCCCCGAATTGGTCCTTCCCGCTCTTGGGCTCTGTTTCCCGAGTGTGTCTCCGATCTGGCCGTCTGCTGTCACTCGGCACTGCCTCCTCAGCGTAGGCCCTCCCGACTCTTCCTCCACACTCGCTGTGCTTGTCGTGTCGCCTCCTTCCTACTTGCTCTTACCAAGAAGCCAGAGGAGCGTGCGCAGATTCTTAGCTGATACTTTGCCCATTGCTCTTGCCTCTTTAGCAAAACATACAGAGTTCTCAGTGGCCTGCCCCACCGCTCGCTGGCTCTTCCCTCTGCGTCCCCCCCGCTCTGTGTGTCGTGTACCCACCGTGCCCGCAGCGCGGAACCATGTGCGATTCCCCGCCTCATCTCGCGTGGTTTCCTGCTTTCTTGCCTTACCCATGCTGTTTTTTCAAACTCAAATTCCACTTCCCTCTGTCCACTTCGTAAATCTCTTGGCCTTCCCGGTCCTCGGCTTCGTACCAGAATGGGCTTCCCCAGTCGCACCCCAGGCCAAAAGAATCACTTCCTCCGCTCACTACTTCTGAACTTGTCTGTACTTCTGGTAGTGCATGCAGCATATTTTGTTAGAAGCATCGGCTTTCTGGCCTGTCTTCTCTCCTTGACCGTGAGCTGTCTTGGGCAGGGTCTGTGCTGTCGTTGTGAGTGTCTAATGTAAATTGGTGCCTAACAAATGTCTGTTGAATGAATGATTGATTGGTAATGATTCAGGCAAAGGGTAGTGTGGGTTACTAAATGATTGGAGTAATTGTAATTCAAGAGATCTACATGAAAAATAAAATAGATGCTGATTTCATCAGTTAAGTAAAACAGAATTGCTCATCAGAAGGTTATAAATGTGAAGCCCCATCATGAATAACCCTTCTCAGTTTTAGGGTTTCTTTTTTTTTTGTGGTACCTGGGATCAAATTCAGGACCTTGTGCTTGCGAGGCAGGTGCAGAGCCACTGAGCTACATCCCCGGCCCTGACCCTTCTCAGTTTTACCACGCATACTCTTGTAGATTATGGTTCCATGGATGGACAATTTCATCCTCTCAATTTCTCAATTTAGTCACTAATGTTTTCTCTATTTTACTTTGAACACTATAGGAAATGCCATGCACAGGCTTTTTACATCTTTTCTGCCAGTTATTTTTTGTTGTCTACACGGTTTGAGCAATTTCCTGTCAAGCCCTCTCTCTTCCAGATTCTGTAGCTTAATCATTCATTCATTCAACAAACATTCTTTCTTATTGTGCTGCTAACCAACTGATGAGAAAAAAAAGTTTACATGTATTTTGGAATATCTTCTGTCACGGTTTTAACTCTTTTTCTCCTTTTCATCTTCCAGTCTTTTCAGAGAAGACTGGGGTGCCTTTCAGGTTGAAGGAACCGATGAAAGTAGACGGGCTTCCGTTCTGTGAGAACTGCTGTCAGTACGGCAGCGTAGATGAGTGTCTTTCTGGAGGAAGCTTTTGCAGCCAGAACTGTGCTCGGCATATGAAAGACAAGTAGGTTTTGCTTTGTCCCATCTGTAAAGTGGGTTTTAGGGTTCAAGGTCACGGTGCCTGCGCATATAGAGAGCTTCTGTGCCCTCTGATGTCTGGCACCTTCTCATGCCCCGCCCCTTTGCAGAGATTTCTCTGGAGCCCCCGCCCTTGAGACCTGTGCCGGCCCGGTCTTGGCCGCCTCAGTACAGCTCCTGGCTCTGTCGCGGCCGCAGGGCTCCGTCTGTTTGAACGCCTCTCTGCTAAGAGCACCTAGATTTCACTGTGTGCCCCACACAGTTTGGCGATCCCCGTATTTATGGGAACTCGGTTTTGTCCCTGACGGAGAGATGTGAGGTGACTCAGCTGAAACTTCGCCCGAACTGGGAGCCAAGCTCCCGAGGATGGTTCCCGCGGGACGGAACGGGCTGCTCGGTGTCAGGGCGACCCCCGAAGGCCAAGGACGCAGGCGTCGCCCGCAGCAACAAGTGAGCCCGCTCCGGACGCCTGGCCCATTCCGCTTCGCAGCAGGAAGGTGTACCCGTGAACTCTTGGGTGCTGCCCGCGGCGGCTGTACAGTTAGGGTTTAACGCAGCTTTCCGCATATTTTATCGGCGCGACCTTGGGGACTGATTTTGTTGGCCCTGGTGCTCCCTAAATTGCGCTGAATTTGCCTTTCTTAATAATAGATCCTTGCTTTGGTATTGCCCTGAAGCGAGTATCCTTAACTAATTAATTCTTTTATTAGTATAGTTGGCAGAGGCGGTAGACAAGCAATTATAAACTTGTTAGAACTTATTTCACACGCATTGCTGGTCTCCTTTGGAAATTAACATACGATGTAATTTCCACTTTCTTTCCTGACACATGTCCCCGTCATAGTGACTTAAAACAGCTTCTTCACATGGTATGCTGATGCCTACGACCTGCTCCTGGTAGTGACATATTTTTCCTCTGGAGCGTGTTTTGTTAAAAGATAATTTTTGCACCGATAACCACCATGTAGATGTTTGATAGGTGTTTCCTCTCACTGTTTTGGGGTTATAAATACAACAGAGATCAGAAGGAAGAAAGGGACGCAGGAGAAGACAACGAGGAAGAGGATTCTAAATGTAGTCGGAAGAAAAAACCGAAATTGTCTATGAAAGCGGACCCCAAGGAGGACGGAGAGGAGAGGGAGGACGAAATGGTTAGTACCTCTCTGCGGCCACCAGGGGGCGCAGGGCTGGCTTTTGAGCGGGTGACGTCACAGTCCCCCGTTGGTTGAGTTCTCAGTGCTGGTTCTGAAATTGTCACAATGGGCAAGTTCCCAACTTCTCTGGCTCCCCGCGCTCTTCTCAGAGTGGTGATACTAAATAGAGCACCCATCTCTCCAGCTGAAGAATTTTAGTATCCTGAGATTTACTCCTTGGGGAAGACACAACAGCAAAACCTTACGTTTTGTAGATAAATCTTGAATCCCCCTCCCCACAAAATGCCAATCCCATTTTGGTAAATTGCAGGTAGATCTCATAAAACTAGGGAGCACTTAAATGTCAAGAACACTTGGGGAAAGCTTTCAAAATGTGCCAATAAAGCATGAGTGTCTCGCTAGAGTATGTATTAATGATTCCAGTATGAAGAGAGAACCGTGAGGCCTTGATCAGTTTTGAGCACCTGTTATTGTGAGTCACTATTCTGTAAGCTGGGAGTACATGGGTGAATAAGAAAGGTAGCCAGGACAATGTTTCCTTGCAGGGATTTTTTTTTCTATGCCATGGATTGCATCCAGTACCTTACACGTGCTAGGCAACTACCATACCACTGAGCTGTGTCTTCAACCATTTTAAAAAAATTTTTATTTTGGGATAGGGTCCCACTGAGTTGCCCAGACTGGACTGTACCTTAGCTGTGTTCTACCTCATCACCCAAGTAGTGGGGATTACAGATGCACCAGTGCCCCTGGCACGCAGAGATGCTTGTCCTTGTTCAGAGTACGTGTAGTCAAACAAGACAAACAGGAGAAATACCAGCTTATCCGAAGTTTCAAATTAAAACAAGGCATTAGGATTGGCTGACTGCTGTGATTTGGGTTTTCCGTGAGGCCTCCAACGACACGAGTGCTGTGGTCTGAATAGAAAGTGGGAACTGGCTCTGGGCTTTAGGGCCACTGAATATCGAGGGAGAGTCCCTAAAGGAGAACATATGTAGTATGTTCTGTTGGAGGAAGATAGCAGAGCTTTCAGCGTCCGAGTGAGAAGGCCCCAAAGCTGTGTGCTTTAGAGTCAGGTCCGGCCTACGGTAAACCGGCGCCAAGTCTTCATTGTTCTCTGAGTGTAACTGGAAGCCACAGGAAAGTTGAAGGCAAGGGACTTTTGACCTATGTTTTAGAATCGACTACTGTGGCCTTGACGTATGTGAGTAAGAGTAGAATAGGGAACTGGTTAGAAGTTTCTGCGATAGACTAGGTAAGAGGCCTGTGTGAGAAGGCAGGGAGAAGGAGGGTTGCCAGGGGTTCTAAGACTCCGAGGTTGGAGTGAACCATTGGCTGGATAATCACGTCGCTCGCTACGAGTGGGAAGGCAAGGCTGGAGCAGGGAATCAGGAGTCCCTTGGCCTTGGTCGGGGACTCTCCGCAGCCACGCAGGTGGGCGTCCTTAGGAGGGGCGGATGCAGGCGCGTGCAGTCGGGGACCGGGAGGAGGAGAGCGATTGGGAGGTTTGGGCACTGATATAACCGTGAAGCCCAAGGCTGGTGATGGGTGGCAGAGAGAAGAGGCTGCATTGGCAGAGACATCAGCAGAGGAGCCTGAGAACGCGTGCCAGCGAGATCTGAGGAGACGCAGGAAAGAGCGGCTGTGGAGGAGGGGCGGTGGCCAGGCCCCCAGATGTAAATATTGGAACCGATCCTCTTTTCTTATGCGCTCAGCCCAAAGACAACATGGCTCTCAAGTAAAATGTATTCTTACCTTCTTTAGAAGTTAGTAGGGCCAGGGATCTAGCTCAGCGGTGCTGCCGCCTGCTTTGCAAGTACAAGGTCCTGAGTTCAATCCCCCGTACCAAACAAACAAAAAAGTTAGAAAGTGAAATTGAAGGAAAGGACAAAAGTGAAAAAAGGTTTCTGACAGCTCTCTGTATTTTCCATTGGTGCCAGTTTCATGAACTTACAGGTCGTCATCTTCCTTTTGTGCTGTAGGACAACAAGCAGGATGGAAGAATCCTCAGGGGTTCGCAGAGAGCCCGGAGGAAGCGGCGAGGGGACCCGGCTGTCTTGAAGCAGGGTAAGCTGATGAGAGGCTTTACTTGGAACCTGGAAAACCTAAAGTAGTTCACACAAATAGACATTGTCATCCTGTTGTTCTGCACAAGGTTGTAGTTACAGGATTGCGTTGGGTTTTTCTTCGATTCAGTTTTATCAGGAAAAATGGGGGCCCGAGAGAGGATGAAAAGCGTGATATATTCATGTATGGAAATGCCACAGTGCAGCCCATTAATTTATACGCTTAATACACATCATAACTATAATAGGAAACAAGGTTTAAAAGCACTGGACTCTAAAAAAAGAGGAGGGAGGTGGTCATGTTTCTTCATGGAGGGCGGTGTTTCCAGAAACTCAGATCCCTCCCAGTGGATGGAAAAGCACACTTAACACATGTGCCCCGTGGATTTTTCCCATCTACAAGTTCATATGTGGACTGGCGTTTCTGCTCGTGGCCTTTGGTTTCCTGAATTTAAGCGGTGACTTGAAGAAGAGTGAAATAGATGAGGAAAAAATGGAAAGTGGAATTTGGAAGTGGGCTCAGCTCTTTATTTCTTTATTTCATCCCTTTATTTCTTCATCGAGGAGATGGTACTTGTATCTGTACCTTTACCAAATCCTGTCTTTACTCACTTCTCAAGACTTTAGGTTTCTCCTGTCCCCCGTCAGAGGTGCACCCTAGGAGAGCTGTATCCCCTTTGTTCTTGTCCTCTTCCGCCGGCAGGATTTTATCCCTCTGCACAGCCCAGCCCTCAGGCTGCTCCCTTGGATATTTGGCTGGAAGAAATGGTCCCCTTACTTGGAATGGGCCTTGGGTCATTTCCCACAGAGACCTCGGTGTCTTCCACTCCCTTTCAGCCCGTTGGCTTTTTTTCTTTAAATATTCAGAACTTTTTCTTTCTCTGTCTCTACTCTGCTTGTTCAGGAATCGCCCAATTACTTCCCCCTAGCTTGCCACCCATGAAGTTGTGACACTCTTTCCCCCAATTCTGTTACTCTGTCAAATTAATCCAAAATAAAATTGATATTAATTGCTCCTCTCACCACATTGAACACTTAAGTACTCTTTTTTTTTTTTTTAACCTAAAAACCTGACTCACAGTACATCAGTTATTTTGTCTGCCTTCAGAACACAGCTGTTTGCTGTCAGGGAAAATGTTGTGAGTGCCCTGCCTGTAGAAGCTTTCGTTTCCCGTAGCTTCCATGGTACTGTTCTGCTGGCCTCCTTCACCTACTGAATTACTCTCTTCTGTCTTGTGCCTCTGCAACTGTGGCTGTTTACCACGGCTCCCTTCTCAGCCCTCGTTTCATTGGAAGATGAGCCAGGAAAGGAGACTGAGAAATAACCAGCCACGGAAACAGGAGAGGAACCAGGCAGTGAGAGGCTACAAAATAGATCAGTGGTTGCTCATAGATTTGGAAATTCTGTCGTTCAGTTTCACTTGCCTTTCAGGTTTGCCTCCTAAAGGCAAGAAGTCTTGGTGCTGGGCATCCTACCTAGAAGAGGAAAAGGCTGTTGCCGTGCCTGCGAAGCTCTTCAGGGAGGTATGGTTCCTTCTATCGACGTTATTTCTACTGCCTGTGTAGGACCATGACTTGGAATCACTTCTCAGACATACAGCTTCTCCTGTTTGCAGCACTGACACATGCACGCAGGCAGGCACCCACACACGCACACACGCACACACGCACACCTGCTGTTCTCCCTCAGTGTCTGTGAGACTTGCACTCATGACTTGGAACAAGAATACAACTACTGGAAAATTAGTACACAAAAACTGCAGTGGAATTTTATGTCAACATCATAGCTTTGAGAGAGTGGGTTAGAGATTATATCATAACAACAAGACATGTGAAAACGGGGATTTCTATATTGCATGAGCATAACAGACGTTTTTTTCATAGGTAATTTCAAATCAGTTACACATGGAGGTTATCAGGTGTAGTTCTGAGGAAGAGCCACTGCCCTTGGACCAAAGCAGAAATCATTAAACTTTTTTTCCAAAGGCCCAGATGGTAAATATTTTGGCCTTTGCAGAGCTCCTAGTTTCTGTTAGAGTGGGCGTGGCTGTGTCCCAGCTTCCTCTGCAGGACTGGGAGTGCCTGGAGTTGACTGTCAGACTTGTACTTCACAGACTTTTAAGTTGTTATGTTATATCTCACCATGGTAGGTAATAAATCTGTGGACGTCTTTTTATATATGAATGAAAGTAGTGAACAGTACATGATAGGATGATTGCATGTACATTGAGAATATTTAATTTAGATGTAATAGCAGTGACATATGAACTTATTCTGGGTTACTGTTTCCTGTAATTTTGGATCTTAACAGAACAAACCTTTACACATTTTTTTAAAAAGTTAAAGTGAGGCTAATTCCTCGCGTCGGTGCACACCCCAGTGACTCAGAATGCAAAAGGAGGTGAAGCAGGTTCCCCATGGGCCTGTCGCCTAGCACCGGGCTGCTTCTGCTGGGGTGGCTGCTGTGACCAGTCCCTTTATTTCCTCCCTAGAGCCCACGTGCCCCGGGGAGCAGCCCAGCCCCGTCCTGCGTGTGCCTCACACGTCTTGGCTGCTGCCGCTGCGTTTCACCAGACTGGAGAGTCCTCCGTTTCCGTGCATTCACCCCTTCATCCGTGTACTCCAGTGCACAGTGCTTCTCTTACGCTGACCCCTGCTCGCGAGCCTTTTGCTGTGTGCAGTGGTGAATGTTCTTGTACACCGGTCATTTTGCACACGCGTGAGCGTGTCTGTTGGTTACTTTCTTAGAATAAGAATTGCCGAGGTGAAAAGAACATTCAGATTTTCAGAGACTACGGCATTGCCAGGGACTGACCCGTTTCAGGCCCACCCACCTGTGACGCTGTCAGTTTTCCCAGGGCCTTACCCGTACGGTGTTAGTGAGTCTGTCAGTCTTTACCAATCTGATAGGGAAAATAGGGCTTAGTTTAATTTGCTTTGTGTAACTTTGATGGATGAGATTGACAATCTTTTCAAATACGTAAGACCAAGGCTGTCAACTGGTACATTTCCATGCTGTGACTTGTTTATAGCCCTTGTCCATTTTTCATTGATCCTTTTCTTTTGGGTTTTAAGAGTGATCTATGTATTTATGTATTAGAATCAGAATGGTGATTACTCACGTTTTTAACAAGGACTTCGGGTGGTACTAAAGCTGCTGTCATTTTGTACTGCAGCACCAGTCCTTCCCCTACAACAAGAATGGATTCAAGGTCGGGATGAAGCTGGAAGGCGTGGACCCAGAGCATCAGTCTGTGTACTGTGTCCTCACCGTGGCCGAGGTGAGCTTCGCCTCATCTTGATTTTTGATCGTGGATTTGTTTTGTCTGCAGTACGAGGGATCGAACTTAGCGAGCACTGTGCTACATGTACCTCGGCCTTTCTCTTTTTCTTTTTCTTTTTGTTTTATTTTGACGCAGGCTATTGCCCCAGCTGGTATTGAACTTGAAATTCTCCTGCCTCAGCCTCCGGCATTGCCAGCATTGCCCGGCTTTGATGAGGCTTTAGTAAAGAGAAAAACCTGTCCCTGTTGGAGTGCTTACTTCATGCCAGGCATGGTGCTTAGTGTCTTGTGTACGTCACCTCGCCTGATCTGCGTCAGAATTCTGCCCTGGGCAGGTCTTTCTCGTACCTGTTCTAGAGATGAGAGAACTGAGGCCAGAGAAGTGAAGCAAGGTGTACAGGGCCCCAGCTCTTAGCCGCCATAGGACCCAGATTTTAATCCAGGTCTGTCTGGCGCCGTAGATTTTCCTGTGCTGTGTTCCTTAAACGAGGAATGGGATGACAGGTATTTGTTTTCTTTAGCATTCTGAGCTTCTCTGAAAGCTTCAGGAAGAAGTGACTAAGTCACATATGTGTAATTATATCCACGCACGATGCCGGTGTATTACTGAGAATATATCCTTTTACGTTTTTTCTCCCAGGCTGGCCTTCTTGGTCTTACTCTTGAGCCAGGGCTGCACATCTTTTAAAAATCCCCCCCAGAAGGATGCGATGGTCTCGGGTGCTAGTGGCTATCACAGTGCTCTTTCCCTGGCTCCCGCAGGATGAGAGCGCACAAGGGCTGGGTGGGGGCCGTCACCCTGAGCGATCGCCACGGCCACCCGGAGCACGGCATGGCCGCCCGTGCGAGCTAAGTACCTCCCTTCTTGGAGTCCAGATTAGTTCTCGAAGCAGAGAATAAATAAATACCTGTCGTTCCATTCCTCCTGGCAACTCCTAAAGGCAGCACTGCAAAGAGCTAAGCTGGATGTTCTGGCCACACCTCAGGTCCCGTGGGGAGCAGAGGCTGGGTGAGGAACCAGCTTAGCTCTTCGTAGTGTCGCTTTTAGGTGTCGCCATTTGTGGAGCTGCTTTTGTTGCTGTTCGGGGTGGTCTGGAGGATGCAGGCTGCGTAGGGCCCGATGTCCGTGTTATTTTTGTTTGTGTGTGCGAGTGCTGGGATTTGTTTTGTTTTGTTTTTTTAACGCCTCAACCTACTTGGCTGTTGCAGGTCTGTGGGTACCGGATAAAGCTGCACTTTGATGGATATTCAGATTGCTATGACTTCTGGGTGAACGCGGACGCCCTGGACATTCATCCTGTTGGGTGGTGCGAGAAAACTGGCCACAAACTGCACCCTCCGAAAGGTATGGCCACTTTTTGTTTCCTGCTTTAGGATCATTGAAGACTCATTTTCCTACATGCCACTTTGGAGTTTTTAAGAATTAAGTTTTTATGATAGTTCAAATAGGTCCTCATTCAAGCATATTATTCATGATAAAATACATTAATTAAAGTGAAAGAAATAAAAGTAGACTCTACCACAAGAGAATAAACTGTGTATTAATTTGCGTATAAAGTAACTCTTGCATGGTAATGCTACTTAAGTTTGACTAAATTATTTTTACCTACAAATTTCTATTATTTCATACATATGTATTTTTTTAAAAAACAGCTTGAAAAATTAGTTTCAACTACTTCACATGATTTTATTTACTCATATTTCTTTGGGTAGAAAATCTTGAGACATCGTGCCTTGAACACACAGATCTCAATAGTTAGGAAACTGAGAAGATTGCAACAGTGAATATGGGGTTAGGAGGGCGTTGAACTCAGCAGTTTCTTTTGTTTGTTTCTCTTTCATTATTTGGTGCTGGGGATCAGGTCCAGAGCCTCCCCTGGGCTAGGCAAGTGCCGTACCACTGAGACAAACCCCAAACCAGAGCTTTTGCCTGTGTCACATGTATGTAAAGTGCCAAGAAAAACGGATGCCACTTTCTTCAGTCCATCACCCCTGTGTCGTGTTTCCTTCTTTTTCAACTATTATATTCATTATTGTGGACTGGATGTCAGAAGTTCAGGTCACAGTTTGATAATTTTTGTCTCATTAGGACTTTTAAAACATTTTTTGGCAGTACTGGGGACTGAGCCCAGGGCTCACAAATGCTGGGCAAGCTCTCTGGGTCTAATAGAACTGGACCCGCAGCCCCACGGGCGCTGGCTTTTAATGCATGGAGCATCCTTGCTTTTAAGTAAAAAATTAATGCCAGAACTGTATTTTCAGATAGCTAAAGGACTGAACCAAAAAACACAGGAAAGGTGGTGGTGAAGAGAAAATTTGTAAGCCTTTTTATAAATGAACTTCTTACATGTGGTGCATCCTGATGGACTTTGATGAAAAGGAAATAAGAGTTAGCAGCAGACGAGTAAAATGCTCCATTTCCTTTTTTTTTTCTAATGTTAATTTTGATGAAATTGTGCAAAATTAAAGCAATGAACATTTCTCTCTTTTTTTGGTACTGTGGATCGAACTCAGGTCCTTGCGCTTGCGAGGCAGGTGCTGGAACCACTGAGCTAAATCCCCAGCCCTCAAACATTTCTCTTAATTTGCTAACATTCTTGCTTCATAAACCTTGAATTATCTTTTTCTGTTTGTTTGTTTTTTGAGACAGGGTCTCACTATGTAGTTCAGACTGACCTGGAACTCACTGTGTAGCCCAGGCTGGTCTTGAACTCACAGCGATCCTCCGGCCTCAGCCTCCTGAGTGCTGGTATTACAGTTGTGCACCATCATGCCTGGCTTGAATTGTCATTTTTATGGTGATATGCTGAAAAGCTTTTACCTGCTTTTTTATTACTACTTTTTCAATTTTTTATTTTTTCCTATATATGAGTCTCCCAAAATAGACTAGGTGAGGGAAAAACTTGACTATCCCAGCTCAGTAGTCCAGACTGCTAAGAAATTCTAACTAAATACTGATGGAAGTAATTGCATAAAAAGTATACCTAGTGCAAAAATGTGTTGGTTTCCTTAGTTTTTTTTTTTTCCTATCCATTACTGTTCATTTAAAAATGAAAATGTAGTAAAATTGGTTAAAAATAATGATAGCCTATATCTAAAAATACAGCTGTAAATTATGAGTTTTAATTTTGTGCTTTGAAAATAACCACTCATTGATTGATTTGCATGTTGGCAAAGAAAGGTAGGTTGGAAAAGAAAGTGTAAAGTACTTGAATATTTTCGTGAGTCTTTCATGTGTGCTTACTCTAGGATATAAAGAAGAAGAATTTAATTGGCAGACCTATCTTAAGACATGCAAAGCTCAAGCTGCCCCTAAGTCATTATTTGAAAACCAGAATATAGTAAGTACATACAAATATGTTTTTCCTTTCAAAGGAAGTGATTTTTGAGCATCTCATTGGATAAATTACAAGTGTTAATATGGAACTAAAATAAATTTTATTGCCTTGGTAAATAGAGTTATCTTAATTAAACTTTAAGATTCACTTAAAATCTCCATGAATAAATATTTTATAGCCATATTATGGTTGTTATTGAATGGTAGAAAGCAGCTTAGTACAAAATCCAGGTGTGATTTACAGTTCAGAGGCATGAACTGCAAGTGACCGTGCCGTTTTGTTGTGGGCACCCTTTAATGAGGAGCACCGTGTCCCTGAAGCCTGTCTTCCCCTCCAGAGTCTGAGCAGTTCCTGCCTCCCGGCTTTGCCTGCCAGGATCAGTGAGTAACAGATAGGAGGGGCAGTGACGCGGGGAAAACTCTGCATTTGGGAGGTCACAGTAATGAGCTGGCGTGAGGGCATCAGGCTGAGGGATAAAATATTCTCTGGTTGGACTGATTGAGAGAACTGAAGAAGTTGGGGGTGGCTAGGACAGGAGAAGAGTTAATGAGCCAGGTTATTACTTCCTGTTATCTTAACCACGAAGAGCGGACGGAATTGCTGAGCGGTGAGCACAGGCTGGTCAGTAGGTACTGTGCAGTCAGGACGCACCCAGGAAGAGGGTGGTGAGGGGAGGGGAGGCGGCCTGCTGTCGCTGCTCCCCCCCTGAGCGTCCTGATCCCTTTTGCTTCTCTGTGCAGGACCTGACCTGACTCAGGGGTTTGATCCCCGCCTCGTGCTGTCCCCTTACATTCTCGGGGGATGCTGCTAACGTACACCTGAATCTCAGGCTCTGTGCTGGGGATCTAACAGGAAACTCTTTTCTTTTCTAGATTAATCTATCTGCAAATAGTCAAATATTTATGGTCCTAACTGATCAATAATTTCAGGTCTTAACTGTAAGATAAAAATTTCTCCAAGTTATTTATGCTTATTCCTTCAGTTCACACAGGACTTATTCTGATATTTTTCAGATATATGACCTCCTTTTTGCACAATAGCTGTACATTGTATAATGATAATAAAATAAGAGATGACATTTATTTTGCTCGAAGTACTTAGAATAATTCCCATATATGTCAGTCTGTATGGAAAGACTTGTTTTTGAGAGAGGGTCTCATTATGTAGTTGAGTCTGCCCTGGAACTCACCGTGTAGCCCAGGCTGGTCTTGAACTCACAGGTCCTGCTGGTCCTGCCTCAGCCTCCCGAGTGCTGGGATTACAGGCGTGCGCCACCATGCCAGGCTGCTTTTGGTTATTTTTTAAGAAAGGTAGAAATGATTTAGTTACAGGATATATTGTGATTGACATAATTCATATCTAGATAGGATATTCTTCCTCACACAGGAGTATAAGGGATGTTTACATGTTACTGTCCCTCAAGCAGTAACTCTTACTGAACTTCTGCTGCTTTTCTTTTAAGTCCCAGATGGCTGATTATCTATGGATTTCCTTCCAATCGCCAGCCATGTTAGAAGGCTGCGTAAACGAACAGTCAGTTTATTTGCTACTGTTGTGAATAAAAAGTATCTGTAGTGTTAAGTAGTCTGCGGCCTTTCATATATGAAGATGACCTTCTTGCTGTAGAGTACTCTTGAGAAATCTAAGCTGGAGAGAATTTGTACTGACTCGTGCACATTCTTAACTTGATGAAGCGCATATTTCGTGTGAAATAATTTTCATTATTATATCTGTAATCAAGAGAAAAAAAAGGCCAGAATGTGAACTCTTGGGTGAATAAAGCCTGGAAGTGTAGTTTTCTAACTAAGGTATCAACATGCTTGTTAAAATCATCTTCATCTCTGCAACGTTGTGAGTGTTTTAGTTTTGAGGCTCAGATAGTTAATTGGGGGTAGGCATAGAGCATTTAAAATTTTTTTTTTTTTTTTTTTTTTACTGCTGCTTGGAAAGCAGCCCTGCTGTGACACTGGCACATGATTTTTAAATTCTGTGAACACAGGGATGGGCAGCAGGAGGTGCAGATTTGCAGGTCTTGCTGCTGTTGAGTGTGTGCTTATCTCTAATTAAATCTGCATTTTTTCCATAGACGGTGATCCCATCAGGCTTCCGAGTTGGAATGAAGCTGGAGGCTGTGGACAAAAAGAATCCTGCCTTCATCTGTGTTGCTACGGTAACGGATATGGTGGACAATCGCTTCCTGGTGCATTTTGACAACTGGGATGAGAGCTATGACTATTGGTGAGACGTTTCACGTTGATGCGTGCTTTTCAGAATTTAATGTATATCCAGGTAAACTAGGTGTACAATTTAAAAACAGCTTCTAACCAAAGATAACAGTTACATTGCCCCAGTTTTTCCTTTTTCAGATGTTTAAATTTTAACATGTTTAGTATTGCATGTATTGCTAAGTAACATCCTTTAATGCTACTTCCTGATCTGTATTTTCCTTGTCTTTATACCGTGGAAGTGGCGTTGGTGCCCCCCAAATTCCCGGCATAAATTGACACGCATGTGCACCCAGACTTACCCTTTCCCCTCCTCCTGGGTGTCTTCTATCATTTTTTAGGAAAAAATGGTAATCTTCCTTTCATGTTTTCATGCTCAATAGCTAATTTAACCATTCATGATAGCTGCTTACGAATGTATTGAGGAGTAATGTTTTCAATTCTTAGCAATTTTAGATACTCTGTGTAAAGCAGTAAGAGAAATATAAAGGCTGTAATTATAAAATAGTTGCAATAAAGCCTTCATGTTTTGATTAAACAAGTGAACTAAGGATTTTCCATACCTAATTTATATTTCATATTCATTGATCTCTAGAATAAAGTTTTCTGATGGAAGACGTTTGTATTATTCAATTCAGTCTAGATATCTCTTGAAATGAGATTATTTTAGAGAAGTGACCAATGAGTTTTTTTGTTTGTTTGTTTGGTTTTGGTTTTTTGAGACAGGGTCTCACTATGTAGTTGAGACTTACCTGGAACTCACTGTGTAGCCCAGGCTGGTCTCGAACTCACAGCGATCCTCCTGCCTCAGCCTCCCGAGTGCTGGGATTACAGACGAGCACCACCACGGCTAATATATGGCTAATATAGTATCAAGTGAATATTGTTCTCTGTAAATGTAACTAAATTTCTGGGAAGTAATTTTTTTTAGTATGCATGTGTTTGATTATTCTGTAGACACATCAGTAACTTCCATTGCTCCTCAGACTGAATTATTAGATACTCATTTTCCTGCTTTGTTTTTTAAAAAAAGGCAGTGAGTTGAAATCCATTTGCTATTCACATTCTTAAAATACTTTCCACTATATGTTACGTATGTGATTTACAGAAATTTTTAAAAATGTAGACAAGTCCTTGTATGATTATTACGGTACAAGGTTAATTAAATCTTTTAGAATGTTTTTGTTTTCTCTAGCTTTGTTGTCCAAAGAATTGCTTTTCTTCACAGGAGGTCTTCATATTTAGCTTGAGATAAAAATTTATTGAACTGTAGGCATATGCAAAACTAGTGATAAAGCAGTCTTTCTGTGGCCTTTATTTAGCATTAACCATCATTGACTTACATCTAGTATTGTCCCTCTGAGTTTCTTAAACCTCAATTCTAAGATTATTTTGATACCAACTCCAGATAACATAGCATTTCATGTAAGAATGATTCAGTTTGTATCTTTAAAAAAAATTAACAGCTATCATGTCACCAACATGCTTAACGGTATTTTTTCCAGTTGTGTTAGTGACTGCATTCTTAAAAAATGTTTTTAGGTCCAAATAAGTTCCATGCTTTGTGATTACTTTGATGCTTTTCTTGATCACTTAATTTTCAGATCCCTGTTTCTCTCTCATGTTTTCTTCTGCTCACACCTTCTAGTGAAGAGACCAGGTGGTTGGTACTGTTGCATCTTTCAGTCCGGATTTGCCGCTTGAATCTTCATTGTGCTGTATTTTTCTATCCCTTTGATTTCCTCTATAAATCGGTGTTCGTTTAAGATTGTCCATATTTATTTTGCATGGGTGAATGGATGAGAAATCTTTAGATTTAGAAATAGCCTCATCTGTCTGGGTTGAACATATTTATCTTCTCCATCGCATGGATCTTGATGCTGGAGGCATCAGTGTGGTGTCTTGAATACGGCATTTTAGAAGTAAGTGCCACTGAGGCAGTTACTCGGTTTTGTTGAGGTGAGAGTTGGTTTTTGTTTCTTTGTTTGATTGATTGATTGTTTCGTGAGCAGTGGTGAGGATGGAAACCCAGGGCTTCACATGTGCTAGGCAAATTCTCACCACTGGCTTATACCCCTAGCCTTTGTTTTGTTTTTAAAGTTCTGATTTATTTGGGGAGAGTTGTTTTTGTTTTAAGTTTTTTTGTGATTTGAAAAAAAAAATGGTTGGATAGTAATTTCTTACAGTGTTTTAAAGATACAAATTGGTTATTTGATACATCATACTGCCTTTCCAAATACTTGGAGGAAAAATAATGAGGTAGTCTAGAAGAATTTGTTGCACTGAATTTTCTTGATGCCAAATTTATAAGGATCAAGTAGAACAGATCTCATGGGTTCTTTTTTAGAAAGGACAAAAAGGACAGAGAGCCAGGGATTTAGCTCAGTGGTTCCACCACCTACCTCACAAAGGCACGGTCCCAAGTTCAATCCCTGGTACCAAAATAAATAACAACAACAACATCAACAAAAAACTACTAACCTCTTATAAACTCTAATTTTTCACATTTTTTGAGCACAAACATGTAATTTTTTTTAGGATGAAATATACTTTGAGGATTACTTACTACTGGTGACCTGAAATCGTATTTTGTTAACGGACAGAAAAAGAATACTGTATGTTTTCTTCCTCAACCCATAGTTAATTCACTTAGAAAATTGCTTAAATGCGCTGGAATTTGTCTAGGTTTATTAAATACTATATTCTTTGATCTTTGCATTGGAATGGTTTTATCTGCATAACTTCCTTAGGTGTGTGCTACAGATCTGCTTGCCTTTCTTGATTTAAAATAGCTTTGAAATGAAAAGTTACTTTGATTGGATAGCAATCCTGTATATCTTTACATTACTGTGAATTTCAAAACGTAGGTGTCTGTATATATTTGTGGTACTGCAGGGTTAGTTGCAGTCAAGCATTTCTTCCAGAGCAGCACACGATGGAAATTGATGTGGGGTTGAAAAAGTATTTTATGCAAGGAAAATAGTACACATGAGAGCACAAATGGCTTTCTCGGCTTCTTCTGAGCTGGTTGTCAGCTGTTTAACTCTTTTGCCCTGACAGTCTTTGGAACTATGAATAATCCCAAAGATCACAAAATAGCACAGTCCAGAATGAGAGCGCACACGCACACCCGCCACTGGGAGAGACCTTCCTTCTATGGAATGTTATTTTCTTGTGACCTTGTCTTCCGGGAAGAGGCATAAGGACGGGACGTAGCCTGTTGTTGAGCAGGAAGATCAACTGAGATCGCAGGGTCCGCCAGCTCGGAGCCCTTTCCGATGGTGCCGGTGAGTTAGGGTTCAGCCTGCAGTGAGCCCATGTATGGAAAAGAAGTGGCACTCAGTGAATCAGTACAAGCCTTAGGCAGTCTTGTTTCCTGCTTGTTCTAAATGTATGGCAAACTGCTTTTAGAGGCATGTCTCTTACATTTATGTTTTGTTTTGCCTTTTGTTTTTTGAGACAGGGTCTCACTGTGTAGTTGAGACTGACCTGGAACTCACTATGTAGCCCAGGCTGGTCTTGAACTCACAGTGGATCCTCCTGCCTCAGCCTCCCAAGTGCTGGGATTATAGGTGTGCGCCACCATGCCCGGCTTTCTCTTACATTTATGAATTGAGAGTAGTGGTAATGTTGCAAGTCTCCTAAAATAATGACCGAGAGCTTGCAGGGCAGGGTGCTGACAGGGCCTTAGCTGACAGGCTCGTCAACACTTGGTTAGAGTGGGGAAGCAGTGGGATGAGGGGGCGGTTTACGGAAATGAATGGGAGCTGGGCCATTCTGAACTCCGGCCCCAGGACTGTGACGGAGAAGGAGCGAGCAGGACACCACCGCGTGGACTGTGTGGGGAGCTCTTCGTTGTTAGAGACAATCAGTTGCCGTCTCTGGTGGCACAGGAGGGGAACAACCTCCAGGCTCACTGCAGGATTCTTGGGGAAGGCTCCTTGGGTGTCGCAGCGTTTGTATTTGACCGCGAAGGAAGAGAGGAATTGCTTCTCAGATGTTGGCAGGGAGTTTGTCTGGCCAAGGAAACCATTGTGTTGGTCCGGGGGTAGGATGTATTTAGAGAATGGCACCTCACTTATTCGGTAAATTACTTAACTATTCTAAATTTTCATTGCCCTCTTTCTTTCCAAAATAAATTAAGAAAAACGTCTACCTTACCATGCATTCTGAGGATTAAGAGTTTTAGGATCTGGGAAATTAATCTGCAGAGGGTTGGAGAGACGGCTGTCAGGAACATCAGAGGGGTTTGGTGCTGAAAGGAAAGGACTATTCCAGGCAGGAGTCTGTGTCGCGGAGGGTTCCTCGCACTGGGGCAATCTGAGCTTGGTCTTTCGGTAGGAGAAAGGTCTCAGACCACCGTGAAGAGAGAGAATGCAGTTGTTTGAAACGGGGTTATTGATGACACCAATAGGCTCCCATCTCTCTCAGCCCGGAGGAAAAGAAATAAAAGGAAAACCGGGCACCAGAGTGGTGACACGGCTCCCCTTGGTGTTTTCCAAGTTGCTATGTTAGCAAGAGATTTTCATCGTGAAGCAGATTAATTAATAGTTACAAAAGCTGCTGTGGGAATGAGATTGGCTCTACATGAGGGACGGAGAGGGTGACTCAGCCTGACGAGGTTTGGGGTTAGTCGGGAGGCAGAGAGGCCCTGAAGAGCTGGCGTGAGAAGCCGAGAGAGCCGGGGACTCAGTAGTCACGGGCAGAGTCACGCTCTGAGTTCAGACGGCGGGAAAGGCCAGTGCTCTGCAGTGCTCCACAGAACCCAGGCCACGGTCGCTTGAAACAGAGACTGAAATAGGCTCCTTGCGATGTTCTTGTTCGACTCTGCTAGGGCATTAGTTTTGCTTAGCTTTTGGCTGTAGCTGATAAGCAGAAACTTTCTTTGCAACCGAAAGGCCTGGTAAAGTTACATAATCTCTTTGTGTTTCCATAAAATAATCTTCATGTCTGCTCACTTTATCCTTGTATCATAAACATGGGTTTTTCATGCATTTTTTTAGTTAGTTTCTTATCCTTTCAAAATGTATCAGTCTGGATCTGGTTTGAATTTTAGCAACCTTTGGGCATGTTTTTTTTGTTGTTGTTGTTCGTTCATTTGTGGTACTGGGGTTTAAACTCAGGACCTTATGCTTGGGAGACATGCGTTACGCCACTGAGCTAAATCCCAAGCCTGGGGATTTTGCTTTCTTAAAAAATATACTTTTTGAAATGGACTTCATGATGTACTGCACAAAGACAACAAATAATAGTAATGAAGAGATACTGTGATCAGTGACTCTCTAAGCTTTTCACCACTAGCTCCTTGTTCTTTCTTTTCGGTTACATTTCTGCCTTTGAACACTAGATGGGACTAACGGGTGACGTGCAGGCAGTGATAGAAGAAAAGGGGTTCACAGCTTTCTGAGTTCTGAATGAAAGGTTTGCTTATTGAGGAGGTAGAAGCACAGTAGATAAAAACAGAGGCATTTTTATCTTCTCTGAGATGCCTTTGTTTTTATTTTTAAATGGTGACTTTGAGTAATATTTAGATATTATTAAAACCTTAATGTACAAGAATGAGTAGCCGTAATATGTCATATTATTTTCCTTACTTGGACATTTTAGAGAAATCCAACAACACCAAGGGTAATGTTTAATGTTCTTGCTTTAAAATAGTCACCATGACTCTGACAGATCATTATAAAAGCTACCACATAATTGTGTTAGACTGAAGAGGAAAAATTAAGCACGTCGTATATTTATTTTTATTCTTGAAGGATAGAACTGTATGAATGTACAGTTTCCCTAAAATAAGAAGTGCCTCATTAGTAATCATCCCTGAGCAAAATCATTGTTTAGGAAAAATTAGGATAGCTAGAAATAGAACTCCAGGGCCCTCCCCATTTTTACAGTTTGTAGCAGTACATCTTAAGGAACGGTATACTAAAATATCTCTTATGAAAATACATACTGTATGAAATGTAGTGATGACCATAGGAATTTGGCATGCCTTAGTGGTACCTGTTTTCCTTTCATATTTCTAAAATAGCATCATACACACCTGTTACCCTACTATACAGTGTAAGGAAAAATAACAGTTGGGTAGTAGAGGAGGGTATGAGGTCACAAGTGACTAAGAGAAGAACCGAATAAATCTTTCACCCTAAAGTTAAAGGTGTTTTCTGCTGAAGGCATGGCAGGAAAAAGTCAGCAGTACTCAGTGGATACCTCAGCTTACGGCGTGTTAACCTGAAAGGCTGTGCCCTGGGAGAGGGCGACTTGGAAGGTGGTGACTGTACGTTAACATCATTCACTGAGAACCTTTCGTAGAAAGTTCTTTGTTTTTCTGTGTTCATTAGACTCTCACATTAGAATTTCCAACCACTGTTACCCTCGTGATGGTCCCCCTTCTGTTCCCACTGGAGGGCTGCGTGGATCCTTTGATCTCCCAGGACAGAGACGATAGACGTGGTTAGTGGACTAAGGCTGGACTCCTTGGCTTCCTTGAAGCACCTTTTCCCAAAAGGTGTCCTGCAGACCACTAGTTTTGTGTTAATACATTTTCTAGCAAAGTGGTCTTTCTTAATCAATCTTTAGAAAATGATGCATTGCACGATTCACTAGTTTTCTCCAGTGAAATTTCAGTCTTTAGTGTGCTCATGCTGTATGTGTGCTGTAAATCTCTAAGTAGTAGCATATTAGTGCTTTTCTGAAATATGTCGTGTGACCCTGAGATTCCCCCCCAACACATTCACACACACGTGCACACATACCGTATAAATAGGTCTGATGAAAAATACGGTGGATATTAAATTTTTAAAAATTTACATAGTAAAAGGCACATTGCCATTAATCCCCTCACGGACTTCCACCCTCACTTTAGACACACCTATCCCGTTGTTCTTGCCGCCGGATGAGGACATGGCACGATGTTTTTGCGAGCCCGCCTTTCTGTCGGGTGGCCCTTGGCAACAGTAATTCACTACATTTTTGCTCACACCTTATAAAGACACTCAGAAAGAGGACCTCCAGAACTGCTTCAGAAAGTGGCGGGAGTATGGGATGAGTGAAGCAAGAAGGAGCATTTTCCTGGAGATTAAAGGCCTTATACCTTTTACTGAAATACATTTTTTAAATTTTAAATTCACCATTTATCTTGATAACGCCGCTAACCACCTTTTCACTTTTTAAAAAGATATTGTGAGCCAGGCACGGTGGTACAGCCAGGCCTGTAATCCCAGCACTCTGGAGGCTGAGGCAGGAGGATCACTGTGAGTTCGAGACCAGCCTGGGCTACCTAGTGAGTTCCAGGTCAGTCTCAACTACATAGTGAGACCCTGTCTCAAAAAAAAAAAAAAA